TCAGCCTCTAACACATTCCATAGAGATGAAAGATATTGATAAATGCTTGTTGAAAAATGAAGGGAGATCATAGAGGTTAATTTAAAAAGTATTGGAAAGGGTGGCAGGAGATGCGAAGTTCTCTCTGCAAAACCAAAGGATTCAAGAGATGGAGGAAGCCCAGAGCCTTTGCAAGCATAAGGAGGAAAGATTTTTTTCTTCTCAAGTGAATGAATAGTTAACACTACTGTCCTTAACTGAATCTGAACCACAGTAATAATTTCCTGAGATATAATAGAAAATTATTTTTCAGAGCATTATTTATATTTCAGAGTGTAGCAAAACTGTATTGCTATCACAATTAAACAAGAAATTAATCTAAAAATAGCTATGGTAAATGGCAGAAAGATAAATAGAGTAGAAGGAAGGGAACAGGGTTGAGGGAGGAAAGGGGAGGAAGAGGTACCGAGGATTGAATTAGAACAAGATATATTTTATGCTTTTATAATTATGTCAAAATGAATTCTACTGCCATGCATAACTAAAAGGACCAATAAAAAACAAGAATGACAATTTTATGATAAGACTATGTCTATTTAAATTAGAATGTATACCTTAAATGTTGGATTACAACTGAAACCATGCCACTATGTACCAATATTTTCTTGGGACATATTTATTTTGCTTAAATAAAATTTCTTTGGAGCCAATAGTTCAGGAATACCTCACCCCTAAATTGAGCTGGGCCTATGCTACTGGCCTTAGAATGGAACATGGGCAATGCATATAGGGCTTCATGAGCTATTCCCTCCAGGGTACTTCCTGCCAGGCCAACAGTATCTAGAATTGAAGATGGCTCAGGTCTTCAGATGGTTCAAGTAGATGATATGTATACTTGCTATATCATTTTTCCGACCTGTCAACCTCTTAGGGTTTGGGGTCTCAGATTGCCAACTGGACAGAAACATAGTGACTGCAGTATTTACAACTGTTTCTGTATTTCCCCAGGAAATTCTAAATGAAAATTTAAGGATGTTTGAATTAGTTCAGAAACATCCATCACACTGGCCTCCCTTTGTACCACCAGCCAAACCAGAAGTGACAACCACTGGGGCAGGTAAGCTTTTACTCAGGGCTTTAGGTCAGGAGACCTACACATAGTTTTTTGTTTGTTTGTTTGGTTGTTTTATTTTGGTACCAGGGATTGAACTTAGGGGCATTCAACCACTGAGCCACATCCCCAGCCCTATTTTGTATTTTATTTAGAGACAGGGTCTTGCTGAATTGCTTAGCAGCTCGCTTTTGCTGAGGCTGACTTTGAATTCGCAATCCTACTGTCTCAGCCTCCTGAGTCGCTGGAATTACAGGCATGTGCCACCGCACCCAGCCATAGCACTTGTTTTATGAGAAAGAAGCAAGTATGGCTCAGGCTTTCTTTGGAAAGTAAAATTTCTGCTCAGCTAGGCTGATCAAGGAATAGTGTTTCCGATTATTTTAATTTTCTGCTGAGCCAATACTTGCTGATTTCAAAGAATGACAAAAGAAGAGCATGAGCTCAGTGTAAAAAGTTCTATGCAAATTCAAAATGACTAGATTTTGAATCACCCATGCTCTAGTTCAGAAACAGCAAATAAGAAGCCATGGGTGATTCAAAAGGTACCTGGGAGGGCTTGCAGAGTATTGGCCAGATCACTGTGATCAGGCCTATGAAAACAAGTAACAAGTCTGATTATTTTAAGTCTTTATAGAGAATGTTTCATCCTTGGCAATAGACCTAATTGTAAGTCTCCTCCAGACCAGCCTTTCTTTAGCAAAGTGATTTAAAAATCTGCCATCACACCAAGTAACACACTGATTGGCCACATCAACCCAAGTGTCAAGCTTTCTTTCTTTCTCATTTCTGTATTCTGATAGAATTCATTGACTCTACTGAACAATTGGAGGACTTTGACCTGGAGGAAGATTTTGAGATTCTGAGTGTGTAGAATAATAGGAACTCAACTTGGAGGTCTGTCTTCCATCTGGCACCACATGAACATGAACTTGTTATATAAAACTTTTGTAGTCAGCAAGTGCCTGGTATGCCAGCAGCATACAAACTCAATAGCAATCATGAATGAGCCAATTACCTTTTCTCAGAAAAATAACAACAACAACAATGACAACAACCCTTCCCCAGGAAGAAATAGAACAGTCATGGAGTCTAGAAAGTTTAGGAGGAGTTCATTGCTTCTCAGCTTGTTTTACATGGCTACAGAAAATCTTCAGCAGCTGAAATGAGGACATTTGGAAGACAGACAGCAACTATCATCTTGCTTCAAGCACCAGCAGATGAGAGATGGTTACACTGTTCTTCATCACTCTTTCAGGTGTGACCTCTATGGAGCTAAATAATAAGAAGCAATCTGTTCTATTGCTCAAATAATAAAGTAACTGAATCAGGGAGAAAAAGTTCTTTTCAAATTATTTGAATATGTATTTTAAATAACTGTAATATATATCCACACGTTTGTCAAGGAAAGTATGTCAAATGTACACTTCTTGGTTATCTTGCTATTTGATGGGTCCGTCTCTCTATCCTTACTGGTATTTTTGTCTAAAGTCAACTTGTTCTTAAATCATATCATGATCACTTAAATTATAGGTCAGAACATTTTTTCTCTAAAGGACCAGATTGTAAGTATTTTAGTCTGCAGGCCATGTGGCTTCTGTCACAACTACTCAATGGTGCAAAAGCAGCCTTAGACAATATGCATGTAACTGAACATGGCTGTAAGCCAGCACAACTTCAGAAAAACAAGTGAAGGGCTGGATTGGGCCTGCAGGCTGTAGCTTGCCACACACTTAAATTGTTGGTTTTTGTTTGAGGTATTAAAAATAAATTGTTTGAATTATACTGTTTTGGTAGATAGCCATATGTAGAAAGAATGAATCATGTGGTGACATTCAATCTGTGCATTAAATACATTTCCAAACCATTTCAAGACTAGTAACTTACTAAGTTTTAAAATATATATTCATCAAATTAGCTCTGCTAACCACTCTGCTGTGAGTATACACAAGTCTTTGCAATATCTTCCTGTTTTCCTTTCCTTGCCTTATTAATTCTCTGCATTTCACATGGCTCTGTATTTCACCCCTACACTTAACACAGTCTCCTAGGAGACTAGCAGCTGCGGTTTGGAAACTACCACCAACCAATTCACTTCCTTTAGATTCCATGTTTTTCCTTTTTTCTTGTAGATTAATGTATTCCAAAGGTTTAAAAGTTAAAAGATGTAAAATGGTACTCAGTAAAACCCATCTCCCTCCCATGGGTCAGTTCCCTTCCTTGAAATCTCCCAATGTTATTAATTTCTTGTTTATCCTTCCAGAGGATGGATTTTATGCATATATAAATATATGTACATACTTAAGTATACACACATAAATACATGCATATATGCACACATGTATAGCTTAAATTTGATTTTAATGACTTGAATAACTCTCTACTTTTAATTTATCTGTAAATGATCCTGTGGGCACAGGTGTACAGAAAATCCTTTCTTGAGTAGCATGTGATGGGGTTAAAAGCAGTTGTAGGCTTATCTTGAAGTATGCTATGGATTTGTTGGCCAGTATAGGACTTCTTCAACCCTGACTTGGATCAATTTTCTTGATCCACGAAAATTATTTTATAACAGAGGTTAGTGAGAAAGGATGCTAGAAAAGTTCTCATCAAAGAAAATCAAAAGAGTCAAATGTTTAGGTTTTATTCATTTTATTTGCTATGTACAAAGTCGATACTATGCTTATTACTCAGCTAGGAGATGAAGGTGACAGTAGTTCAGTTTATACTGATTATGCTTTGTGTTGGCACAGTTTACATAATACTTAAGGAAACAGAATCTCCTGGAAGGTATTGTCTCATGTCAACATAGCAAAGAATTTGGGAAACTGGTAATTAAAGAAAATGGCTAAAACAAATCCCACAAACAGTATACAGTATACTTTATGGCCAACTCAGGCTTGCTTAGTCTGCTCACTGCTAATGAGAGGAATGTGCTAGATTTTTATGAGGTTTGAAAAACATATCAAAATAGTTTAAAAGGCTACCTGTAAAAGAGCAGTCAGATGACCAATTTAATGGAAAGTCTCTAATAGCTTCAGAATGCAAAGGAACCCAAACACTGCAGCTTCAATTTGCCACACTGCACACATCTGGATGGCATTTGGAATAAACAGGGACTTCTGAGAAATCAGGACACAAGATTTACCCTTTTGTTCCTGGAGTCAAAAGCAAAATTCGCACCTCCTTACCCATCCACCCTCTACCCCTGGCCCAGGAAAGAGGGCTGTGGTTCTCATTTCCTTTTATGGGCTTGGCCACATTTGTTGCATCCTCTGCTCTGCTTTGGACTGGGCCAAGTTCTCTGTCTCTGGCTGGGGGACAGCCGGCCTGGAGGAAGTGATTTGTCTGGGACCTTATGGAGTTATTGGGCCCCTCTCAGCTGCTGGCCTTCATGCCTCCTTAAGCAATATGGAGTCCAGTCTTGCTTACTCTGGAAGGAGCCATAGTCACCCCAGGCTACTGACTGGCACCTCATTCTAGTTTTGTTGCCTGCCTAGATATAGGGGACTGCCTTGAATAGTGAGGGCTTGCCCTGTGCAGAATTCAGCCATCTATGAATGTTCAGTCAGAAAAAAAAATTTTTAATGTGGAAACACTGGGCTCTGGTTTAACCAAATAATGTGTGGTGGCCTCTGGTCATAACGTAATGACTTCTTAACTATTGTGAAGACTTTTGTGATCAAGACAGTGAGGAAAGCTAGCAGTCTGAGAAAGTGGTGGCCCAGCAAAGCTTTCTGAGGTAGCCGTGAATAGTCACACAAACATCCAAATCAAATGGTAGCACCAGGTTGATGGAAACTTGGAACAGCAGATCTCAGCAGGGTGAGCTCATCTACTGGGGCTGAGGGTTGGGTGGCTAGTGTCCAGCAGTCCAGCCCAAGTGAGACTCCAATGTAGGCCTTCCTTCTTCAGACTGTTCAGGTTTGTGAGGTGGCCATTGTGAAGGGGTAGAGAGGGCAAGGGGCAGAGTGGCAGATGCCACCCTACAGTCTTTTCATACACACCTGGCAGCGACTGACCCGGGTATGGAGCTGCCCAGCTTTCAGTGTTTCAGACACTGGCTCCTCCTTAAACTGCTGCCTTTCTTCCACTGTCGTCAACCAGAAACTGTACTTGTTGGCAAAGTAGTGGCAGGTGCCTCGGGCACCACTGCACTCGATGAAAGGAGTGGCCCGAAAGTCCTCGAGGCAGGAGCCAGGGGAGACCAGGGACTGGCCTCCACCCTCCGCCCCAGCAGCAGTGTGCTGAAACAGACCGGAGGTTGTTTGGTGAGCTGTGCCTGCCAGAGCCTGGCATGGGGAGGTGCTGCAGGAGGGCACACGTGCTCCACTCCTAAGCACTTGTCCTTTGGCTCTGTCCTAGCTTCTAGCCAACATGCCAAAAACTGTGTTTTAGGGGCAGAGGCCGTACATCCTCCCTTGTAGCAGCCTTCAGGGTTGGGGCGCCCCCCTCCAAGCTCCTTAGTTCCTTCCTAACCCATTATGCATGGCTAATGACTACATCTCAACCAGGGGTTCCCAAACTCTGAGCAAATGAATCTGAGAAAGGTTGGATTAAGGTAAATTCCCTAGGGTTCTCTAAGCCCTTTATCTAAGAAGGGAAAGAGTGTACAATGTCCCACAAACTGCTTCCTCCAGGACCCCTCCCTTAGAAGCATGTCCATCAATAGCTCATACCCTGAAGTTCCCTTTATTAGAATTACTTATAGTTTCAATCTGTGCCACACACACCCTTCAGGGTGACATATAGTGTTTGTTAGCTGCCAAGTAAAAGAAAACCACATTGTATTTGGCCTCATTGCAGAGGATTTCCTGAGCATTTGGTTTCAGGGCCACTCATGAGCTGAGGGTCTCCAGTCACTGTATCCACAGGCAGCAGCCCCTCATCTCCCCATACCCCACCTCTTTCCCTTCACCTCAGCTGGGCTGTCATCTGGACCACAGATGCCATCTTCCCCCACATCCAGAACTATATGCAGAACTGAGATCTCTGGTGATTAGCCAAGCCCAGGTCAAACATTTCTCTTCTTTTCAAGCTCTGCTTTCTACCCAGTGTTTCTTGAACCTGGAAACCCATCTTGAGGGGCAATCCCAAGGCTTCCAGCCCTTTGCTGGGGGGAGGGGCAGTTCAGGGCCTTACCATGAGGAATGAGTACCCAATCCAGAGGCTGCGCCAGCCCAGGGGACACTGTGGGATGGTGATGTCCTGGCTGTGCACTGCAATGGCTTGAGAAGGAGCCTCACACACAGAGCAGCGGCTGATGTACTGGGGAATCTGGGTCTGGCCAACAGGCATCATGGGAATGGGGGCAGTGGTAGAGAGCCAGTAGGATTTATCATTGCGCCTAGCATAGTGACACACTTCATTGATGTTGCAGTAGATGAAGGGCATGGTGCTGAAGCGAGGCAGGCAGGAGCCAGCAAAACCTGGGAGGAGAAGGTGGGAAAGACCAGGTAAGGTCTGGCTAAGGGGCAGCACCACCAGGATTGAACTAGCTGATGGTTTGAGTTTACATCCAAATGCTTTACCAGACCACAGCAGCTCTCTCCTGACAGTCCTGTGACACTGTCCATATGTAAATGCACCAGGGAACTTTGATAATGATGAGAATTATTTTATAAACTGAATAATTGCTCCCTAATTAATCTGCTTTATAAAACCAGCATTTACTAGACTGACTCCACATTTAAGAGTTAGCACACCTACAGATAATGCAATTAATACTTGGGTAATCATCATTGTCCTGCAGGCCATGTTATTATTGTTACTGGTAATCACTGATACTTAATGGAAGCTTAAATGCCAAACGCTGTACAAAGTGTTTTATATTGGGTGATTCATGTGCTCCTTACACTTCCCTATGTGGAGGTAGTAGAATTAGCTTTGTTCCATTAAGGATGAAGTAGAAGCTTAGAGAAGTTGAATAACTCATCCAGGGTGCATTGCTAGTAAATGGTGGGGTCAGCATTTGAACCCCAATTCACTTGACTCCAGAGCTGGTGTTTATAACCTGCTACACAACAGTGGACCCAAAGGGATTGGAAAAGAGAGATTAGCTGTTGGTCATCATGTTGACAGGTGGCTAGGGTTAGCTTTCAGAGCCAGTACTTACCCAGGTCCTGATTGTGGGCTTTCTCCTGCCCCTCCACGAACAGCAAGCTGTAACCCACCCACAGTTGGCTCATCCCAGTGGGGCACAGGGGAACCTGTTCCGACTGGCTGTGCTTCACCAATGTGTAGCCCACTCTCACGCTGTGCCCGGGTATTCCGGGCCTCCCAAAGGGCCCTTGCTTCCCTGGAGCTCCTGAGAGGGAGAGAGCAGAAAAGGGAAGCGTGGTGTAGCCAATGATGACATCAGCTACTCACCTGGTGCCACACATTGTGCAAGGCACATTATATATGTGGGTCATCTCACTTGATCCACACAACCACCCTAGGAGAGGGTGCTATTATTAGCCCAATTTGTAGATGAGGAGTCTGAGGTTCAAAGCTTCCACAATTAGTAAGTGATGAAGTCAGAACTCTAATTCAGATGTACCTGGCTATAAAGTACACCTCCCAGCTACCTGTCCTTGAGCTCCCTATGAGTGGGGATGAGAGGGTAGTGTGTGATCATTCTTGGGCCCAGCCTTGAAGAACTTCATAAGAGATAACTATGGCTAGGATATAGCTTGGCAGTAGAACACTTGTCTAGCATGCTTGAGGCTCAGGGTTCAGGCCCCAGTACCAACAAAAAAAGCTTTGCCAGTTTATGGTGGCACATGCCTGTATTCTTGGCAGCTTGGGATGCTCAGGAGGCTGAGGCAGGAGGATTGCAAGTTCAAAGCCAGTGTCTGCAACTTAGGCCCTAAGGAACTTAGCAAGACCTTGTCTCAAAACAAAAAGTAAAAATGGCTAGAGATGTAACTCAGTGGTTGAGTGCCCCTGGGTTCAATCCCATACAAAAAAAAAAAAAAAGATAAATATGTAGCTGCTGAATCAGAGGCATTAAAAGCAGTGTTGAACCCTGCCCTCCTTTCCTGCCCATGGTGGATTTGGCTAATGGATTCCAATAAGGTTCTCACTCAGTCTCAGAAATGTTCTCTAATCAGAACATTGATTTGCAATCCTTGATATAAAATGGAAGGTAAGTAGTAAAGGTATGGACAGACATTCCTCATCTTAAATGTTATCCCTTGAACCACCCCCTCCCATCCATGTCAGAATCCTCAGGCAGAAAAGGGGAGGTACAGGGCAAGGGACCATGTTGTGGTATAGAGTCCTGTGGCTGAAGATCTGGAAGCGAACCCAGAAGAGGATTTGGATCAATTCTTCGCCTTCTGCAATGTAGGGCTCCCCCTCACAGGCTCATGGGGTGGTGGGAGTGAATGAGCAACAGCACAGCTTTGAGCCTTGTGGTAGAGTCAAACTTCACCATCAACTGAATAAGTCTCAGATTTGAGTCTCTGACTCATCCTCAAGCCTCAAACCCTCAGAAACCCTCTGCTCCCTGGTGTGACATCATCAGACCTTCAAATCCTGGAGGGCCTTGCAGTCCAGGGAGACCAGGATCACCAAGGGCCCCAGGTGGGCCTGGAAGCCCACTGGGCCCATCTTTGCCAGGAATGCCAGGTAAACCTTTGAAGCCTGCAGGAGAGAAAGCCCATGAGGTCTGTTATGGTTTGGATGAGAGGTTTCACCCCAGAGCTTACATGTGAGACAATGCAAGAAGGTTCAGAGGAGAAATGATTGGACTGTGAGAGTCTTAACCCAATCACTGAATGGGATTAACTGAGTGGTAACTGAAGTGGTAGGGTGTGGCTGGAGGAGGTGCGAATTGGGGTGTAGCTTTGGGGTATATATTTGTATTTGGCCAGTGGAGGTCTCTCTCTGCTTTCTTATCACCATGTAAGCTGTTTCCCTCTGCCACACACTCTGCCATGATGTTCAGCCTCACCTAGAGTCCCAAGGAATGAAGCCTGCTGTCTATGGATGGAGACCTCTGAAATTGTGAGCCCTTGAATAAACCTTTTCTCCTCCACAATTGTGCTGGTGGGGTTAGTCACAGCAGAAAAAAAGCTGACTAAAACAGGAGCAGAGGTGGTGCTCAGTGTAGAGCATCCAGTGGTGCCCTCCCTAGGGAAAGGGGAATCGTGTCATGCTAAAGATTTACTGACTGACAGCTTGGTGCGCACACTGAGTGTTGGAGCCAAAGCCTGCCTGGGCTAGTTATTAGTTGAAAGGGTCAGCTCTGCCCTGACACCATACTTTCCACTTAGCTTTTCTGAGGCCCTCCACACACTCCCTTCCTGTCATCCTACCAGCAATGCTAAGAAGTCTGCAGGGCAACTGCCAGCATCCCATAGCAAAAGTGTGGACACTGAGGCCCAGGAGACTGCTAACTTACTCTAGTTGGGGCCAAGCTGGGTTTGAGAAGCCAAGTTTCCTGTCCCCAAGCCCTGAGCTTTCTCCAATGCCTCATGCTGCCCTTTATGCACCACAACAGTCCCTCCATGTCTCAGCAGCACTTTAGAGAGGGACAAGCTGTTTGGAAGAGTGGCTGTGTTGTGCTTGCACATTCTCCAAAGTCAGATACAATCACTACCCTGTTGACTCTGCTGGCCTTTCCCCTCCTTGGCAAGAAGCATGGAACCTTGTAAAGAAGCAAAGCAAAAGTCTGATGAAGGTGCTCCCTTGGAGCTGGAGTTACAAGCCAGCTGCTTCAGTCTCTTAGTCAAGGCCATTTCAGCTTCCTAAGAAGTCCCCTTTCTCGGGTGCCATCATTACCTTGAAGACCAACAGGGCCTTGAATGCCAGGGTCCCCTGGGAGACCAGGGATGCCATCAATGCCTGGAAGACCCAAGGGTCCAGGCGGAACCTGCACAGCTTCTGCAATGGGTGTTTGTCCAGGAGCACCTTGGGGACCGGAGAAGCCTGTGGGCAGGTGGGGGTAACAGCATTGTCAGGCTGAGGAAAAGGAAGACAGGCTGGCTTCAGCAGATTTCCTTTCTGCCCTGTCTGTCCTCACAGTCCCCACTAAGTACAAGAATGGTTCTTACCACCCTTTGCACAGTGTCCTCTTTACCCATCTATCACCCAGTGCTTTGGGGGCAAGGACTAGGTTATACTCATTTTTGTGCCTTAGCTCAGGGATACAGCAACTGAGGGGATGAATTCAACCCCAGAGGTTCAGCTGTCTAGGAGCCTCACCCCAGCCAGCTACCTTACTATGATCTGCTTAGCGATTCATTGAACAAGTACTTCTCGGGTGCTTACTATGTGCCAGGGACTTGCAAGATCTGGGAAGAGAGCAATGAATGAGATAGACCTTTATGGAGATGATAGTCTAGTGATTAAAGATGCACAATGCACAATTTGACAAATGTCCTTAATCTTTGGGCAAGTCATGAGAAGAGCTATGAAGGCAACAAATAAGGCAGTGACAGTGGGAAGGAGCACAGGGTGGTATGGTGTGCAGCAATTTGAGAGAGCAACCAGTGGCCTGTGACAAGTAGGAACATTAAAGTATTGAAAGGAGTCAGTAATTTGAAGAGTAGAGGGACAAAAGCAGTTTTGGAAGTAGAACTAGTGCAAAGAACTAGGCAAAGGCCCTGTGGCAGATCAGGGCTGGTGTTTTGGATACCTGAAAGAGGTTAACTGAAGAGATCAGTGTGGCAGAAACACAGGAGCAGTGAAGGGAGAGGACTGGCATGAGAATGAAAAGGGAGGAATCACATAGGGCTTTGTGGGCTATTAATTTATTTCTATGATATGGGCAGCTGCTGGAAGATTTTTATTGGCTACTATGTGAAAAAATGATAGTTGGGGGTGGGGAGGCAGGGTGCTGATTGAGAAACGTTGGTGGCTTGAAACTTGGGGTAGCAAGTGATCAGATCCAAAGCACATTTAACAGATACACTCTTCAGGACTTGCTAATGGGTGGAATGTGTGGAAGTTATGGTGGGGCTGGTAAAGGATAGAGAGAAAGGTTCCTCATTTCTGGATCGAGCAAATGAATGGGTGTTGATCTGAATGGATCCCAGTACCCACCCATGAAGAAATAATGCAGGAAGAGGAGGTCAGGGGTAGGGTCTGTGGTGGCAAAGCAGCAGTGACCTTCAGTCCTGGGAGCAGATGGAGACAGAGTTTTTCCCCAATGTACAGAAACGACCTCCTGGGGTGGGGCTTGATCCAGCTGCTTCAGGCTTCCAGGACTTCCTGGCATGGCCAGGAGTGACCCCTGATGGAACTTTACCCCAAACCTTACCTTTTTACTTTGAGCTTAGGTTCAACACAACATATGCTCTCAACTCACCTCTTGGCCCTGCCTTCCCCTTTATCCCAGGAAATCCTGGATCTCCAGGTGGCCCAATCTTGCCTGGAGTCCCCATGAAGCCAGGCTCACCTCTCATGCCTGGCAAAGTGTAAAGGAAAGCAAGTCAGACCTGCCATGACAGTGATGGTGGAGTGGAGACTGGGCAGGGGTGAGGCGGGGAGAAGCATTATCAGCCTTCCTTCCCAGGGCTGCAGCAAGGAACTGTTTTTAACTGCTAAGTGGGGAGGGGTTCAGCAGCCGGCCAAACAGCCATACCTTTCAGTCCTAGCTCTCCAGGGAGCCCAGGGAAACCTGGAGTTCCTTGGTGTCCCTTGGGACCAAGAAGGCCAGAAATTCCAGGGAAGCCAGGGTCTCCAGGGTCACCTTGATCCGAGGATGGCCCAGAGGGGCCTGGGGGCCCATGAGGGCCTGGGCGACCTAGGGATAAGATTGGAAGATGGATGAGAGAGAGGTGAATGAGCAGTAAGGAGTCACTGCTGAAGGTCTATGGACTGACAAGAAGTTAAAGCCCATTCGAAGGATAGAGAATGTTTCTTTGGCATCTGTGGAGTCCCAGGGCCCAGACATTCCCAAACCCTTAGAGCAAAATACAGACAGTTCAAACCCAATGCCCTGGCTAAGGGGAGGGATGTAAGGCCAAGCAGACCCATGCACATCTAGCAACAGGCCCAGAGCTGCACAGGATCCTCCCAAACACTAGACAAAATGGGGCAGCTGGTCCTCTTTGGAGCTTCTTGTTCTTACCTCGTTCTCCATCTAGGCCTGGTGGCCCAGGGTCACCAGGCTGTCCTGTCATGACTGAGGGCAAGGAGATGCCTGGGGCACCAGGGGAACCAGCAGGGCCTTGGAGACCTGGGAAACCTGCAAAGAATAAATAAACAGGGCTGGGTGGGAGGGGTGGCTTTGTGTGCCCAGGAGAGGGCCAGGTTGTCTCAGAGAAAATAAATGGAAGTGTTTAGATAGAAGCCAGACCAGACACTGCCAGCAGAGGGCTCTTCTCCCTTCACCTTATCTTCCCAGCAAGCAGACAAAAGTAACTGAGAAGGGCTCAGAATCCCCCTTTTCAGCTGCAGCTTAATTTTATTAGAACAGAGCTGTGGAAAATTCTAGCTCCCCAATTTCACTGGTGAGAGAAATATTTTAGGTTGATTTCCTCCAAATCAGAAATAAAAGAAGGCATGCCTGAGCAGCTGGAGTTTAAATTTTCCACATGTTCTTAAACCTCCTCTCCCCATCAAACAATATTTCATAAGTTAGCCAGTTATGTCTGATCCTGAACAAAGGTTATGGACATAAGCCTCAGGCTCCAGGCAGTCAGAATGGAGGTGGCAAGAGCGCTGCACCTTGCGGTGTCTTCCAGGCTTCTCAGCTATCTTTAGGTAAACTGGAAAGCAATCTTTTATAGGTAATTCATAATATTAGCTGAATGTTTGTGCCATTGCTTATAGAACAAATTTCTCTGTACTAATATCTTCTCCCTTTTTGGTCAATGAGAACAGTCATTTATTAGAATACATATACAGTAGATTTTTGCTCAGATTTTAATACTGTTGTGCATGCTTTCTGTTTTGGGAACAATTTCTGCTACATGTTCAAAATCAAAACTTTCATCTATTATAAAAAAATTATTTAATATTAACATGTCAAATACATAGATGGTAATCTCAATGGGAAAACACATGTATACATATATAGATGTTAATTTTATACTTGTAGCACTGAAGAAATGTTTTACTTTGGCATATTCTAGAAGATATTCAAATGAAGAGAAACTGATAAACTTCTGGTGGTTGCGATTAATTTGTTTGTTTGATAACAAGAAAATCCAGCAATATTAATGTTAACTTTCCCATCATCTTATATCCATCTAAAATGACAAGTAAACTTGTAAAGAAAGATGGCAGATGGGTTAATTCAGATGTTTAAAATTAGCACATTAATTGATTAAATCATGAAGAAATCATGAAGTTAAAAAATATAAATTTTGAGAAAAGATTCAATAATATCATGTCTAGGAAAGAAAAAAGCAAAAACAAAATGGAAAAAAGAAAAACTATCCGCAAAACCACACGGTTCTACTGGTAGCATTGTCAGTTATGCCTTGGTGACCCTTTGAAGTATTTTTCTTTTTCATGGAGGTAAAGATCTGCAAAGAAAGACACATTGTATACTTTCCTGAAATGTATTATTCTGGCTTATACTAGAAGATATTTCAATGAATATTCAAATGCATGTATATAATTAAATGCATGAATATACATGTATATAGAGGGCTTGTATATTTATATCAGCTGAAATTATGCAAAATTAATATGACACTACATAACCACATATAATAGAGTCAGTGTGTTAGCCCACAGATTATTAAAGTTCCCTTCCTAGATTATTTTTTACTTTCTTTTTTTTTTTGCAGTACTGGGGACTGAACCCAGGGGTGCTCTACCACAAAGCTACATCCCCAACCCTTTTTATTTTGAGACAGAGTCTCACTAAGTTGCTGAGGCTGGCCTCAAACCTTTTATCCTCCTGCCTCATCCTTCCTCCTGAGTTCCCTGGGATTATAGGCATGTGCCACCACACCTGGCTTCACATGCCAGTTTTTGAAGCCTCCTATGTCCTTTACCTATTTCTTGATTTATAATTACAGCAATATATAATAAAATCTGAAATAAAGGCACTGCTTACTTCAAGTAGTATAAAAATTCATCTATTTATTTGATTAAGAATAAAACATTTCTACTAAGCAGGCCTAAATGCAAAATAGTCTATTTTTCCAAGTCATTCCAGTGTCAAAAGTCCTAAAAAACTATGCTAATGCAGTCTCTAAATATTTAATGAAAATATGAAAACAACAGTGCAATTGAAAGTTATTTAGCTAAAGGTAAGGACAAGAAATGTTCTATGGAGTTTTCTCAGGGGTAAAATCTTATTTTGCGCTGACTTCCATTATCAAATCACAGGTTCCTATGGTGGGGGTATGATACATGCTGCATTGTTTTTAAATAAATTGTTTTAATTAGATATTGAGAGGATACAATATTGATCAATATTGATGAATTATTGATCAATAATATGTAAATAATAATCCAGGTACAATGAAAACACCTGTGTTCAAACTACCCTATTTGGGGAAAAATAAGATAACATTACCTTTGGACTTTCTTGTGCACCTGCCACAGATTCTACCCCTTCTCTCCCTCTCTGAGGCAACTACTCCTGAATTTTGTGTTCTTCATTCCCTCACTTTTTATCATAGTTTGACCATGAATATTTGCATCCCTCAACAATATATTGGTTGTTTTGCTTCTTTTTGAACATTTATCAATGGAACCATACCAAATATATCCCTTTGTGACATGCTTTCCCCCCAACATTATGTTCCTGAAATGTATCCATTTTGACATGTGTTGTTTACTGTGTAATTGTGGTCTTATTACCTCAGCTAAAGGAAATGAATTAATGACCATTACCAGTCAACATTTGCAAACAGAAAAGAAAATGCCCTGTGCTTTTATCTGATCCCCTGTTCTCTATGTCTTGTGAAAGAAGCCACTGTGTCTCTGTAGGCTCAGGCCCTGCTTTGAGCCCTTCCTCTCGAGAAGCTGCTGGCTTTCAGAAAAGAACAGGATGGTCCAGACCAAAGGAAAGAGTAAACACAGAAACAGCAGATGCACCAATTCAAAACGCAGCAGAAAATGAATTAATTTGTGAATACAGTTTCTGGGAAACATATGAACATTATGCGAACATAAACATAAACTAAGTGCAATGAGACTCCAGGCCCCAGAGCTATGAGGAACAGAACATTTTGCAAATATCATTTCCCTAGGTAGCATGCAATAATATAATGACCAGCACTGATTCCTCACAAAACCTGTGAGGCAGATTCTGTTATTACATCCATTTTTGGTGGGGGCGGGGGTACCTGGGATTACACTTATGGGCACTTGACTCTGAACCACATCCCCAGCCCTATTTTGTATTTTATTTAGAGACAGGGTCTCACTGAGTTGCTTAGCACCTCACAGTTGCTGAGGCTGGCTTTGAACTCACCATCCTCCTGCCTCAGCCTCCTGAGCCACTAGAATTATAGGCTGCACCACCATGCACAGACTTTTATTCCATCCATTTTATGGAAACAAACAAGTAAGGGCTCATTTGGGATTGAGGGACAAGGAACTTCATTCTTCAAGGTCATATAGCTAGTGAGAGACCTGAAATCAGAATCCCATTGATCTGACATCAGAGCCCATACTCTTAGCCATGATGCTAAACTGAATTCATTTTCTGTTTTACAGCGAGTGGGATCAATGAGAACTCATTTCTTTCTTTGGGGAAAGGGAGGCTCTGAAATAGAATTCAGACAATCTGTTGACTGAGGGAGTGAGATCAAGTGGTATCTGATTTCCAGTAAACCCAACAGATACTAATTTAGTGCATGTTGTGGGCTTGTCCTTGGAAGATACTTATTCTTAGCCTTGGGCTTTTTCTGGTACCATGATGTCTTCCCTAAATCCTGGAAGTCCCATGCATACTGGACACTGAGGAAATTCTGGCCAGTCTCTCACTAAGTGGACAAGCACTATCCTGTAGGACCATTGAGCCAGGCTCTGACCAAGAGAGTCTTTAAGGTGAATAAGGAAGAGTGAAAGGGAACCTGGAGACTAGAGGGGACTTGGTAACTGCTCCCTGACACCCATTCACTGGAAAGCCACAGGCACAACCTGTCCTTCCTTTCTCAGCAGCCCCCATGGGGTTCTGAGACTCCCACAGATATTGAAGACATGAACAAATCAACCCTGCAGTCCACATGGCTCTGATGAACCCCAAACCTGGACCCCCATCCCAACAAGGCCTCCCTCAGCTTCTATAAGGCCTGACATGAGCTCATTTACCTTGGCCACCTTTTTGTCCTCTTGGGCCTGGTTTCCCTGGAGCTCCAATGACAATTCCTGGTGTTCCTTTTTCCCCTTTGGGACCAGGAAGGCCAGCAGGCCCAGGCACACCAGTAATACTGGCTCCTAGGAAGAAAGACAGAGGGAGGAGACAGACTCAGCAGGGATAAGGCCCTCCTGTCTAGCCCACTTGTCTATGCTCTGGAAAAAAATATCTTATTCAGGCAGAAAGATAAGCCCTATCCTTTTCCCCGCTTACATTAAGGAACCATAAACTGATGTCTGGTGAAGAGATCTGTAAGCCCAAGTATATGAAATAGACCACAGTCAAGGGCTAGTCCCTACCAGGTTTTAGAAAGAGCCGGTATCTTCCTCCTTGCCATTGAGGGTCTTCCTTACCTGGAGTTCCATGGGTCCCCTTGGTGCCTGGAAGCCCATTCAGGCCATGTAAACCAAGAGGTCCAGGCAATCCTGATAAGAAAGAACATCAGAAATGTCAACAATTTTCCACCTACCCACAAAGCCACTTTAAGGTCTTCACATTAAAGTCCCGGTTTTCCTTAAGGGCATTAATGCCTTAAAGGAGTATAGCTCACACCTAAATTACACCATGTACCCTAGATTCTCATGACTCCTATCAGAGACAAATATGGCTTTAAGAGTAGGATGATAACTAATTAGGCATCTTCAAGAACATAAGTGGTAATAAAAAACCTTTGGTTTTCAGCTCCCAGAGATTCACTGCACAATCTCTAAGTCAAGGAATGGCAACATTTCCTGGGCAACCAACTACTGTTATGGCTTGGATATGGTTTCATGTATTGGAAGGTTGGTTCTCAGTGTGGCAATGTAAAGAGGTGTTGAGACATTTAAGAAGTGAGCCTTAGTGGTAGTTCATCGGGTCTTTGGGAATACTGCCCTCAACAGAGATTAAGGTATTCCTCATGGGACCCTGTGTTAGTTCTTGTGAGAGTGAATTGTTACTAAAGAGCTCTGGCTTCCTGTCTTGCCATATTATCTCTCCCTCTTGCATATCCTCCACTATTATATCATCCCAAATGAGGTAACAAAGCCAGGGGTAGGAGGGTATCCTCACCAGATCCAGTGCCATGCTGTTTGGACTTTCAACCTCAAAATTGTAAGCTAAATAAACTTCTTTTCTTCGTAAGTACCCAAACTCAGGGACTGCATTACAGTTAGGGGCAACTAATACCTTACTTGCTAATTCTTCTCTGTGAAGCCCATGTTCTTTTCCCTTTCATGCTTGCCCACTTGTTTGGGGGTGGCTAGCAGGGATTGAAGTCAGGGGCACTCAACCACTGAGCCACATCCCCAGCCCTATTTTGTATTTTATTTAGAGACAGGGTCTCACTGAGTTGCTTAGTGCCTCGCTGTTGCTGAGGCTGGCTTTATATTCATGATCCTCCTGCCTCAGCCTCCCTAGCTGCTGGGATTAAAGGCATGCGCCACCATTCTCAGCTTGCCGACTTTCTTTCCTTTTCATTCTTCTTTTCCATTATTCCTTATGGGCCCAGTCAGTGATTCTGTTGGGGATGGCTTACCCCTAGCTGCTAGCTCCTAGCTACTATCTTCTTAGATAAAGTAGTAGTTGTCCTTTATGGAGGTAAGGATACTTTTCTCCACTTCCTTCTCTCAAATACACATACCTTTAGGTCCTATTAAGCCAGAGGGTCCTGGAAGCCCAGTTGTCCCTGGATGACCAGAGGAACCTGGAAGTCCTGGGTCTCCTTTCATACCTGCAATCCCTGGAAGTCCTAAATGTGAAACAAAGGCAGAAGTTCAGGATGGGGCATGGCTTGAAGTTATTCTTAACTTTTTCAGAATAAGGTTGTCATGTGGCATGGTACCTGGGGAGCCAGGAAGACCAACATCTCCAGGAATACCAACTTTTCCATGTTCACCCTTGTTTCCAGGAAAACCTATATCACCAACCAGTCCACCTTTTCCTTTCACACCTATGATATCAACACAATTGCTGAGTGGTCAGATCACATTTGTAGCAGTGTGTTCTTCTGTAGGAAAGGATGAACAGGAAAGTAAAACCATTCTGAACTTCTGAAGGGATCTGATCCTATGAAGAATCTCTTGGGACTGGCTGTGTAGCTCAGTGGTAGAACACTTGCCTAGCATGCATGAGGCCCTGAGTTCCAAACCAAACACCACAAACAAAACAAACTAAAACAATGAAAGAAACAAACAAAATCTCTAAAAAGTGCAGTGGTGGCTATCTTCCCATTTGGAAAGTACCAACTGATTGAGAGTTACGGAGACTTGTTCGGGGCACCTTCCAGAAAAGGAAGCAATAGATTGAAATGTCAGAGAAACACAGTTTAAATAACAATATATACATTAAGGGAGGGATGCTATTATCCCAAAGGTCTTTGCTAGCCTTTGCAACTTAAAGTAAGAGTAGGCTATTTTGCTTGAGGAATGTATTCTGCACTGGATGGAAGTTGGAGAACTTGGGGTTCGTGTCCAAAATTCCTTCTAATTCTCAGTTTCAAAGAGTCTGTGAGGCACATGAGACAAAAATATAGCAACCTTACCTTTAAAACCTGATTCACCAGGCTGGCCCTTGGGTCCTGGGATACCAGAAATTTCAAATGTCTGGCCCTGATTTCCTGGTGATATCAAGACATTGTTCAAACGATCAGGATAAACTATAAGTCATTCTGCACTAAAGAAATCTTCTTAACATATTCTTTTTCATATTCAAGATAACCAAAGGAGCTCTTTGACAAAATTACCTATTGGGTAAAAGGTGACTAATCAATTACAACCCAGGATCTGGGGTGCTACCAGGCTACTGGCACAAAATGCTGTTACATGCAGCAAATCTCCATTGGGAAATATATCGCTAGGCTCAGTATAAGCAGAGATGATGATAGATGGGGCCCTAAATCATCACCAGAATGGAACAGTATTACCAGCAAGGATGGGAAATTTTCCTGCTCAACAGACTCAGTTCATCAGGGGAAGAGACAGGAGCTGAGGTTCTCCCCTGCTGCTGAGTCTGAAAGGCAGATGAGCCAAACTCTAAAGCCAAAAGACACCCTTCTCTTGGCACCATGAAAGTCCTGGAGATCTTGGTAGGTACCATGTTTTTTGTTGCATATAGAACTATAGATGGGGTTTGGCCAATTCATTTCCCCATAAACACTGAGTCTACTCCCAAGGCAGCTCTGGGCCTGCTAGAAATTCACCCTGTTATAGAGAAACATTAAAAGAGAAAATGTTCCTTACCTTTTGAGCCTGGGAGACCAAATGCTCCTGGGAGTCCAGGAGCCCCAATGAGACCTTGTGAACCCTTCAAAGCAATACAGGAACCATCATTTCTGCCCAGAGCTCAGGGCTCCCCACCATTTTATTCCCCCTCTGCTCCCCAAGCCAGTGCTTGAGAGATATCTATTATACACAGTCAGGATAGACTGATGTATATTCTGTAAATGGGAAGGTGAAAAGCCAGGGGTCAAGGCACATACTTAGGGTTATTAGGGGCAGGATACTATCTGAAGATTAATACTTGTCATTCATAATTCCTCATTGCTTATCAAAATTGAAATCTTGGCAAATCAATGTGTGGCTGCTCTAGCAAGTCTCTTAGAATATACAGAACATACTAGGCATGGTAGTGCATGCCTGTGATTCCAGTGACTCAGAAGGCTGAGGCAGGAGGATCACAATTTCCAGGCCAGCGTCAGCAACTTAGTTAGTCCTTAAGCAATATAGAAAACCCTGTCCCAAAAGAAAAACATAAAAGGACTGGGGATATAGCTCAGTGGTAAAGTGTGCTTGGATTCAATCCCCAGTACAAAAAAGAAAAGAAAGAAAATACAGAATACAACAATCCAGGTACCAGCACTCTGGTCAAAATTCTAGAACTATGACACATAAAGACAAGTGTTGCTTCACCACATAGGGCTAGTCCTTTGCCACAGGCTCCATAGTGTTTCTGACACTAGGTAGCAGGCTGTTTGTGTGCAGGTGCTGGAGTGTGAATTTGATAAATGTTACCATTTTCACAGGAAAAGCTGCCTTCACTGGCTAATGTCTAACAGACTGAGTCTGGGAAGTGGGCACATCAGCTGCTATCAGCAGAGTTCTTCTACTGGTACCTAATATGGCTTTGATTCATTTGGATATGTACCCAGTAAAGACATATCACAGTGTTTTGGGCAGAAAGTTCAGTACTGCATTGTGTCACTGTGCACACCAAACCATCATCCAGGACACCCCTTCATTCTGCCTGTTTCCTTACCTGGCTTCATCTGGCACACTGCCATAGTTACTCCTAATTATGAGCCTCTGCTCACAGTGGGGCCCCATCCAAAATGGCTTCCCACTTTGTTTTCATCCCTCCTCATTATGAGTAGTCAGGACTATTCATTTTAGAACTATATTTTTTTGTATGTGTATACATACATTCAGGTATGTCTGAATTTTCTCTACCAGATGGATAGACACTTTTAAAGGACAGGGACTTCACCTGAAGGGAGCACAGGTATTGTGTCCAGTTCATTTTGACCCTGGATATTGCTATTTGTGCAGAGCCTGCCATGTGTCTGACATAATGTTAAGTACTTTACATGTAGCATCTCACTTAATCCTCATTACTTTCTGAAAGAGATTTGAATATTATTCTCTTTTTCTACAGAGGAGGAAAAGGAGTTTCAGGGAAATTAAGCAATGTGCACAAGATCGCAGAGCTAATAAGTGATGGAGGCAAGATCCAAACTCTAGTCTGTCTCACAGCTAAGCTTACTCTACTCTGACTTTTAAGAGTCCAGAGAAACCAGGCTTAAATTTTTTGCTAGTTGTTGCCCCTTATGGAGCTTCAAAGATCTTTCTATCAAAACATCAAGAAGTCTGTACTGAATTCTTACAATGTGCCTGACTCAACATGGGATGCTGGCAGTGGGGTGCAGAAAAGAAAAGCATGTAAGGTTGTTCTTGTTCACAAGCCCTGGAAATCTCATTGAGGAAGTCAGATCCCCCAAAGAACCAACTAGATCAATGTAAGCAGTGAGAAGTGAAGAGTGCCAGCACAGCAGGAGCTCAGAGACTCATACAGAGATAGTGCTGGGCTGGGGCCTAAGGGGCAGGCAGGTATTGGCAAATGCAGAAGAGGGAGGAGGCTCTGCCATGTGGAGGAGATAATGTGAGCAAAAACACTTTGGTGGGGATGTTCAGAAAGGGTGAGAAAATCTGTCAGACACAAGGAGAGGGTTTTGTTTGAGGATGTCTTAGGGGAAGGGGTTGGAAAGTGGGCTGAGATCAGTAAGGTGGGCACTGAGGGCATGTCCCCCTATACACAGGCCCTTCTTTGGTGGAAAGACAAAGATCTGGGCACACTTACACTTTCTCCTGGCATTCCTGGGAAACCTGAGATCCCTGGGGACCCCTTCAGGCCAGGTAAGCCCCGTAGGCCCATGGATCCAGGTGGGCCTGGCATCCCAGTAAGTCCTTTGATAGTGCTGGGGAAACCAGGAGCTCCAGGCAGGCCTGGTGACCCTGGACGGCCAGCCTCACCTTTGTCACCTGGGAAAGAAATAAAAGGACTTGGGAAAATACTCTGGATAAGAGAAAAAAAGCTCATCCAGATGCCCTGAGACACAGGCAGGAGGAGGCGTATTGGTTTGGGGAGGGGAGGTGTGACTTTTAGTCTTATGGGGCATGATGAGACTCCAGTCAAGGGCAAGTAGTTCAGTGCCCATGCCCCACTATCTGCCAGGCTCTTCCATGGATGTAACAGACTGTGATTCAAAGCCTTAGTTCCACAGTGGTAATTGTAAATTACAGTCTTAAAAAGTCCAGGCAACCATCAGGCACATAGAAGTCAGCCTTCTTGGACCCCTGGCTGCCACCCACACCACTTCACTGTGGGGCCTTTTCTCAAGAAAGAAGCCAAGTCTGGTTGTAAACTCTTTCTTGGGCATTTCTTGCAACCGTTCCCTGTCTCAGCACCTCTGGGCCCAGGAAATCCATTTGATCCAGCTGAGCCCTGAGAGCCTTTGTCTCCTTTGAACCATAGGTTCAGCATTGGAGGTCTTGGACTGGGTACTCCAACTGGACCCGGATCACCTCTGTCTCCTACAAAGATGAACATTAGGTAGTGTGTGAGAGAGATTAGATACAGACTCAGAGAAAGGTAGAGCTTTCATATCATTTCTTTCCATGCTATCCCCAGCCTTATTTATGGGCCATTTTCATCCTTTTCTCCACTCCCATTTCCCCAAATTTGCATTTTTGTGTATGTAAATCTCCTTCTACAAACCCAAAATTGATCAGTAACTTTAGACCCATAGGAAAACTCTTCTCCAAGGATTATCTGGGAGATGTATGGATGTAGCCTTTGTTATGGTTTGGATAAATATCCCCCAAGGGCCCCATGTATACAGCCTGTGGTGCATTGGGAGGTGGTATAGCCTTTGAGGTGGTATAGCCTTTGAGGTAGTGTAGCCTTTGAGAGTAGGGCCTAGTGGGTGGAAATTAAGTCTTTGTGAGTATGCCCTCCAAAGGGGCTATGGAACTCTGGTCTCTCTCTCTCTCTTTCTTGCTCTGTGTGTGTGTGTGTGTGTGTGTGTGTGCTGGGGATTGAACCCAGTGCCTTGTGCATGTGAGGCCAGCACTCTACCAACTGAGCTGTATCCCCAGCCCTCTTCCTCTCTCTTTTTTCCTTTGTGGCCACCATGATATACTGCCTTATCACAGGCCTAAAGACAAGGCCACCATATGACCATGAACTGAATCTTCTAAAACTGTAAGTCAAGATAAACTTTTCCTTGTTATAAATTATCTCAGGTATGAGTTACAATAATGGAGAACTAACACAGACAATGGGGACTCTTGGGGATGGACTGATTTTACACCACAAGATCAACACGAGTCTTTGGGGACTAGAGGCAGAATGATAAACCTCATTTCTTAAAAGCTTGGTGCACTAGGAGGTGGTGGAAACTTGGAGAGGTGGGGACTAGTGTGAGGAAGTTATGAAGAATGTCCTCAGAGGATTGTGGGACTCTGGTCTTTTCCTTTTCCTCTTTCTCATTTGCTTCCCAGACGCCATGGGGTAAACAGCTTTCTCCATCACATGCTCCCTGCCATGATATTCTGCCTCACCACATGGCCAAAGGCAACAGGGCCAACTGCATGAACAGAAACCTCTGAATCCACAAACTAAAATAAAACTTTCCTCAATTAAGTTGTTTTCTCTCCAGTATTGGTATGGTAATGGAAATCTCAGTAACACAGCCTGTATTATGCAGTGTTAACTCAGAAGTGATTATTAGTTTTTTGGTTTAAAGGACTTTATTCAGAAGCCCCAAATCTTATTATTTAACACAGGGTTGTTATAAGCTACAGAAGTGACAAAGTCAACAAGCAAAAGGAACATTGAGAAGGGTGGCAGTTCTAGCATTCACTTCTTCTACTCACCTTTTTCACCAGGAATCCCAGCCTGTCCAGATGTTCCCACTTTTCCGGCTGACCCAGGAATCCCCTTTAATCCACTTGCACCAGGAATACCAGGGAGACCTGGAATGCCTGGAAAACCTACCAGTCCAGTGGACCCCTTCTCACCTGTTGGGAAACAATAACTTCTATTATTATCCCTGTTCTACAAATGAGGAAACCAATGGGGCTTAGAGAGGTAGAATTACTTGTCCAGAGTCACACAGCTAAGAAGTTTCACAGAAGGGAATAAAACCTAGGTTTCTCTAACTCTTAAGTCTCAGTCATTACTAAGCTCTTAGTCATTACACATCACTTCACTCCCCTGAACAGGGGTGTAGCACTAAGCAACACAAAGGAATGAAGCAGGAGGTTCTTATAATTCATCAAGTTAGAATTTATGTGTGGCACAGAAAAAAAGTCCTAGGGCCAGGAGGCAGGGAGAGAAGCTCTAGCCTACCTCTGATGCTAACAAATTGTGTGCCTTTGAATTACTTTCCCCTGCTTAAAACAGAGATGTCACCTGCCCAACCAGTGATGTCTGTCAAGGCAATCAAAGGAAGTAAGAGCTATCAGGTTCCATGATGGTGCAAATGAGCAATTTCAGTGTGGCTGGTACTGCCATGGGACTTTCTTTCTTTCTTAGTTGTAGATGGACATAATACCTGTATTTAATTAATTAATTAATTCATTAATTTTTATGTGGTGCTGAGGATGGAATCCAGTGCCTCACACATGCCAGGCAAGTACTCTACCACTGAGCTACAGCCCCAGCTCTGGCCTGGGCTTTTTGGACCATGATATTCAGCCCAGTGTTACATAGCAAGTAGTCTATGACTTACCTTAAGCAGTCTTACTTTAGTACTAGGCTTGTCCAACTATCTTCACCAGAAGCCCTGCCCACCTCCCTTTCTGTTGTTCCCCATTCCTGGGCAGAGAGAAGGGGCAAAGCTGGGCAGCTGGTACTCACTAGTAGTCACTGGTCACTTCACTGGCCTTCTTGATCACTTCACTTACCCTTTGGGCCTGGGAGGCCTGGCAATCCAGTGACTCCTGGCAAACCTGGGCTCCCCAAGAAGCCAGTTAGCCCCGGAGATCCAGGAAGGCCTTTTATCCCAGGTAAACCTCTTTTTCTAGTTGATCCAGGGTAACCTTTCTCGCCTTTTTGACCTTTCTTTCCAGGATGTCCTGAATCAGCACAAGAGAGAACATAGGACAGCTGTTAAGCAAGGCTCTGGCCAGATCTGGGCCACTGCCCATTCCCATAGCTTCTGGTTGGTTGGCTTGTTGGGTTTTGTAAATGGCCCTTTAACAATGACATATACAAGCTGCTAACAGGCAGTTAGAGTTCTTAGTTGGCTGGAGCATTACTATCTACCACCCAGAGTGCCATGCCAAATGGCTATTACTTCCAACATGGCACAATAGCTGGCAGGGGGAACAAACTCCTTGTGATTTAAACTTTTCCCTTTATGAATGTGGCTCACGCTTTAGCTTCTGAATGGAGCTCTGGGAAGTCAGGGTGGCAACTGGGCTCCAGTTTCCCGGGTACTTCCAGCCTGAATTGCTCCACAATTGCTGTTTCCTAAGCCAATCGGTGAGGTAGAGGTTAAAGCTGAGCTGTTGTTTCAGCCTCCCAGGGAGCCCAGGATGCAGGGCTGCCCTTTTAATCCCTCAAGCAAGCAGTTAAGTCAGCCAGTTCCTTGGCATTAGGGTTGAAAGACCCCCTAGTGCCAAGTACTGTAGAAATCTACAAGGCCCATTTGATCTCCTAGGTATTCTGAGCTGTCTTTCACCATGCTTTAAGTTGGTCAATGGGATTAACCTCCTGAGCTGCTGCCAAAGTGGAATGTTCAGGTACAAAGCAAGGAAATTAAAAAACCAAAGGATTAAACCAATGACGACAGAGGTATTTGGGCCCCCAAGGACCTAAATGAATGGCTGACTTAGCTTTCTATGGAATGAAAAACATCAAGTAGCTAGGAGCCCCTGGATTCCATTGGGAGGCCGTGAAGGAGACTCCTCAACAAGGGAAGGAAATTCAATGGGAGCCAACCCCACAGCATGAGATCAGGGATCCTTGGCCCTGTAAGCAAGGCCATGTTATAGTGTATAATCAGATAAATCCCTGGTGGGGATCTTAGTCTGTAAGCTTGTGTGCTGTGTTTTTTCACCTAGGAAGCCTATGTGAAGACCCCAGAAACACAGAAGGACAAAGGGGATAAAAAGGATATTAACGGTTCTGCAAATAACTCAACTTCAGTCACTGGGCTGGAGCAAAGGGGAGATGATAGGGTCACTGAGGCAGTGTAAGGACATAGTGCACAAAAAAGACAAGTTGCAAACATTAGGTTGAAAGCAGGGGGTGCAGGGCCCCACCCTGAGTGAAAGCCACTTTTTGGCAATTATACTTTGCTCAAGCTCCTCCTGAACCCAAACTGAGCTCCCCACAGCCCCAGAAAAGGCAGTAGGATGCACTAGACCCACTTGTACAGCATGGGTGGCTTCTCTAACTGGGGAAGGCAGGAGGCCAGGTAAGCATGAAATGGGAGCATCAGGCCATGGGGGAGGGGGCAGGAAGTGATTTGTTGTCATATTTTGGAAGTTAAATTTCAGCAATCTGTATTTCTTGGCACTGCCAGGAAGCCTTGAGATGTGAAACTTAAGAGCTGAGGAAATTCAAGTTTCTTTCTAGGTTCTGACCACATCACACTGCCCAGAGCCTAAGTCTGTCAGGCTAGGGTTCTTCCTCTGATGAACCTACCTGAAGTTCCTGGAAGACCTGGTGCTCCTGGGACTCCAGATTTGCCCTTGATGCCATATGAACCAACAGACCCTGGGGGGCCTGGCTTTCCCACTTGTCCTGGTGTTCCAGGGCTGCCCCGCTCACCTTTGGGGCCTAGCAGGCCAGACTTTCCATGCAAACCTAATAAAAAGGAGGGGTACAGATAATCATAGCCATATTAGAGACTGAATCACCAAACCAACTTCCAGCAGAAGAGCTTGGCCTCAGGTACCACTGTCTTCTCAGCTCTAGCCTTGTTGCCTTCCCCAGCAGAAAGCCAGAGTCTTTGCAAGAAATCTGATTAGTCATTATGGTCACTTCTGGAATTACCAAGGTAAGAAAATGGACCTAGTCTATTTAGGGAAAATTTCCTAGATAAGAGAGACAGAACAAAATGATATTTCATGTTAAACACCTAATTACCCATCATCCCAGATTCATGTAAATATTCATGCAAGTATACAAGCTACTGTAAAGCTTTCTGTAGACTGTTAAATAAGAGGGGCAAAAAGAGTCACCCTTGGGTCCTGGAAGGCCAGAGTCTCCAAGAAATCCTCTGTCCCCTGGCAATCCTTGTAGGCCTTGCTCCCCTGGAACACCGTTTTCAGCACCAAAGATGTCACCAGGGGCTCCCTTGGAACCTGGTAAACCTGGACTTCCAGCCTTCCCAGGCAAGCCATCTTTTCCAGGAATCCCAGGAAATCCAGGCAATCCCTTCTCTCCACGAGATCCAGGAAATCCTAAGTGTCGAGAGGCAAAAATTAAAGGTCATGGATGTTTAGAAGTGATTTTTTTTGGGGTAGATGTTTCTGAGACAGTTTTTTTTTTTTGCCTCCAAGGTAATATATTAATAAAGGTCAGGGGTCTCTCTATTCCTGGGAGACTTGTGCAGAGGCAGGGACTGTATACTAAGTGACCTTAAGAAAATTCTAGTTTTATAAGGTTGGCCACGGACAGAGCTCAGTAACCTGCTTCCTGGGGCTTGACAGGTACTGAAAAGCACAGGTAACACCCAAGGCCTCCTAGTAGAAGCTCAATCTCTTTGGGAGTTGTTTAACTCCTGCTGTTATATCCCCCTCTTCTTGGGTGAAGAGAGGATAGTGGAGAGAACCAAAGTTTCCAATAAGCTCTGGGACAGGTGGCCCAACATGAACCCCAAGCTCCATAGTAGCAGCGGTTCAGAATCACCTGGGGTAACACAGAGATTGTTGGTTCCACCCTTGGAGTTTCTGATCAGTAGGTCTTTCAGACAGTATGAGAATCTGCATCACTAACAAGTTCCCAGTTGATGTATAAGCTGGCCCAGGGACCACAGTTTGGGAACCATTGGTGCAGTATAACCCCATGAAGCTCAGGTCAGAACAACAGGGTGTGAGAAAAGGGACAGAAAGAGACAACTTCCCTCTGACTGATCTAGATCTCTTTCTCTGACCTTTTAAGGAGTTGACCCAGGAAAATGCTATAGTAGACAACCTGGGAGAGTCCTAGCTCTGTCACTAGTGTTTTTGTAATTTTGGCAAGTCCTTTCCATCTGGGCCTCAGTTTTCTCATCTGAAAGTCAAGAGATTGTTCACTGATCTCAGATGGCCCTTATTGCTCTGATATGCTGACACCCTATGGCTCTATGGTTTATCTTGTCTGGGCATGAAATCAAACCATCCCAACCACACCCAGAGAGCAAACCTAGCTTCCCATTGTTGGTCAAGGGTAGCCACAATCTGAATACACACACTGACACAAAGGATAAGCAAATGAGAAGCTCTTTTCCTTACCTGGCAATTCAGGGAGGTGAACTAATCCTGGATTTCCAGGCTCTCCTTTTTTTCCACGAGATCCAGGCTGACCTGCAGTCCCAGGGAGGCCACGGGCCCCTTTAGGGCCTAAAAATCCAAATGTAAGTAGTGAGGGGAAAGGAAGTCAACATTCTTGGATATAATTGGTGATGTTCAGTCAAGAATCCCAGTCTCCTGGAGGGCCTCTATTATTCTCACTTCCTCACATTACCCTCTCCAGCAGACATTCTGTTCCCTCAATCCCTAAGGCAGCCCTTAGGGAGAACTGTTGACCCTCAAATGTTACTGGGCTAGACTCTGCTTCTTTTGGCTCATGGCCTGTAAAGTGTCCTCAATGGCCTTCTCTGGTCTCATTCCATACCTGGGAATCCGGGAGCTCCTGGGAATCCTGATGGACCGTATGATCCAGGAATAATACAAGGCAAGGTAATTCCTGTAAATGGTAACATGTATAAATTACATGAACCCACTTAATCAGAGAAGATGTCCCCCTAGCAGGCTCTTTTACTTCCACTCCATTTAATGGGACAACCAAGTTCTCCCCACTGAGAAGACAGAAGCTCTCACAAAAAATCTTGCCATGGGAAGCTCTTGGGAATTACTATGAGTGAAATTGCTTATAGATGAGAATGCCCTTAGTGTCCAAGTGCCAGGATATCACTTATCAAACTGTTGCTGTCCAATGGGCCACCAGTCACCTATGCAGTGGGTGTTACATAACAAGGTTTGCTAGAGGTGGGCTGTGCTAGAAGAGCAGCAGATGGTAATTGCCTATTCACCCTGCCTTAGATAGAGCCTCTCCAGGATGGGTTTTTGGGGTTAGTACTGAGGGTCCATTATGCCTACATTACTAGATTGGAAGGTTTGAAGTCAAGACTCCTCAAGTTCATAACTATTCTTTTCTGGAAATAAAACTTTGCCCAAGGCATTCGGTTCTTTTGATAGCCCTTCATTTGGTATCTAGTGAAGCCCATTAATTTTTCTTGGTCAGGTGCACCCATAAGTCTGTACCAGGTAAATACCAAAGACTACTCTCTTGGCCATGACGGACAAAAATGAGGACCCCTACCGCAGCTCCTTAAGTGGAACTATCAACACTGATACTCAGGGAGGAGGTCCAGTCAATTTCAATATTCAAGATGTTAAAATTGGTATGCATAACCTTCCCCTAGCAAATTATTTCTTGCTCATTCATAATGCAAACAAAAAAGTTCATAAGATCACAGATGGGAGGTTTAATAAAATACTGGTGAACAAATTGTTTGTGGGCTCCCTCAAGTGCCATTTGCAAACAATTGTTATGCTAATTAAAATTAGCCTAACGTATTCATTAAAAGAATCCCCCAAGGTCTGCTTTAAACCACAGGACCAATAGTTCTAAAGAACTGCTATAGCATTGCCAGTATTTAAAATAAATCACAAATTGTATTTCTGAAAAATATATAGAGAGAGCCTATGACTCAAACTGCTTACTGAACTGGCTGACATTCCTCTTCTGAGTCCACTTCTATTTTCCAACATGAAGCCTTGGCATTTTTTAAATTTTTAGTTATAGATGGACACAATATCTTTATTTTATTTGTTTATTTTTATGTGGTGTTGAGGATGGAACCCAGTGCCTCACATGTGCTAGGCAAGCACTCTACCACTGAGATGCAGCTCCAGCCCCAAACCTTGGCATTTTTATCCCACTTGTTTTATTTCTAAATCAAGACTGGGAATTGAATGATATAATATATTGGTTATATTGAGTCTGAAGCCAGACAGATTTGATCTGGAATCCTAGTTCTGCTAATAATTATCAATGAAGGCAAGATGCTAAACATCTTTAGCCTCATGTGTAAAATGGGAACTACATATCTCATATGGTGTTTTGTGAGGACCATATTAAACTGCTAATAGCACTTAGAACAGTGCCTGGCACCCTGGCATATGCTCAATGAATAATAGATCTCCTCGTGCTTGCCTTGCATCTAGCATGCCATGAGGCCTTGGGTGACTCCCAGTACTGAAAAAATTCTTTTTTCTTATACTTAAGAAGAGTTCCTGCAAGGCTGTCCCCTGGTTTCTACCTCAGTCAAGCTAGTGACACTACTTTGTAGCCTGGGAAGCAATTTTCTGCCTCTAGATCTCAGGCTTTTACAGTCATGTTTCCACAGGTGGAAAGATGGCTTTAGGGCTGGATCTATAGGTGGTCACAAACACCTCCATCCTGTCAGATACTGAGATGACAGAGCTATTTCTGAGAATCATATCCCAACTCTGTAAATACACTCTATAGGCAAGCACTGCATGGTAAGATGCTTCACTGAAAGGAAGCTTCTATGCCTGTGCTTTGCTCAGGCCTGGGTCCTCTGAACTAAGTAGAAGAAATACCTCCACAGCTGGTGTCATGAGAGGGATCTTGTAGAAGACTCTTCTGCCCACAACTATCTCCATAGCCCATTGACTCCAATGTGTTGAACTCTTAACCATTGTAGCTCTATTGCTTTATGTATTACTTAAGAAACAAACTGGATAAGGTATAAGTGTCTCTGGGATGGGGTCAAACACAAAGCCATCCATCCCCAATTTATGAGCTCAGTGTCACATTCTTTTCACATGTGACAGCCAGATCAAAACAAAGCCTTTAAAAGATGGGGATGAAGACAGGAATCTGTTCCTGTACAGGAAAAATAAAGATAAAAGGAATGTATATAGAAACTACAGGAAATCGAGGACACACTTCCCTTCATAAGTTTGTTCCAGGCCGGTCCTATACACTGCACTACTTGTATACTGCAAGCATGGGTTATAAATGGTGAGACAGTAAGGGCTTCACATCATATTGGTAGCTGGCTTTTACTTTACATCTTGTCTTCTGCATTCGTAAATTCAAAACATTCTCAACAAAGCAGAAATCAGCCCTACCTTTGTTCTGTTTTGTAAGTGCAACAAATGACCCAATTATTCCAAATTTTCACACAAATGCCCTAATTCATCTTTAGAATACAAAGGACCTCTGGTTATAAAGATTTCTAACATCTCGATTTGTTCTGAGTCCAATGAATAAAGATCAGAATGCATGGATGATTGAAGGCACCTTTTGAAGGCAAGGCATGGCTCCAATTAAAGTTCAGAAAATACAGTTGCTTAAGTCAGAGATTAGCCAAGCCATCAACATGCATGGCGAAAAGTATCAGCTCCTCTCAGGAGCTTCATGCCCATTTATTTCTGTATTCCCCCCAGGAGGTATGTGTTAGGGAGCCCTTGAAGCAGTGCCAGTGTCAGTGTCAGCCTTTGCATCTCAGCCTTAGAATCAGCCCTCTCCAAACAGGGGCATCAGTGTGATACTCAGGCCATAGAGTGTCAGAAACAAAAGTGAACAAAAAAGGAAGGGGCCTCTTGCCAACATTGATGTCTGAGTAGACTTAGCTAGCTCTCACCTCCCTCTGTGTCTAAGTCTCCTTTACCAACCTTTTCCCTGCAGCAGCAATCACCTAGACCAATCAAGTAAAGCAGAAATTAAAGCAAGACAGAAATTCGTTGAGGCCTAAGGGAAGTCTTGTCTACAGTCCAGATATGCCCACCAACCAAATCTGTTGTTTGGAATGTGTAGAGAGTGCTGGCATCCACACAGAATCATGCACACAGTAGCTGCTTCAGTAATAATCAGGGTGATGGATTACTATGAGCATCTGGAGCCAGAGTCTCTTTGGAAACAGCCCGTTGTCAGCTTGCCCAGGGTTTGTAATAATTCACACTACTAGGTTGAAAGGCTTCGGATGACTACATTCCCTTTCTTGGCAATGCAGCTGTCTTAGCCTAGGCCATCACTGGCAGGGGTGGGTAAATTTAAGAATGGCATTTTAATATTTTTTGTAGCAACGGAAAAGGCTGTAAGCAAATGTCTGAAGCTCACAAGTTATTTGTTTTTAAAATTATGAGAAAACTAGGTTTGAGGAATTATATTTGCTTATTACAGAGAGAATGAGAAAGCCAATGCTCTAAATGAAATAATTGTTTTGAAAGTCTTGGTACTATGACAAGGACATTTTCTGTAAAAGGCATCTTCCAGGCTAAAGCTGACTATAGCACTATATTCATGAGAACTTTCTGTGTCCAGGAACTAGTAAATCCTGAAATAGTAGTGATCCCATGGGTGCCAGGCACGGTGGCACATGCCTATAATCCCAGCAGCTTGGGAGGCTAAGACAGGGGGATCACTATTTCAAAGCCAGCCTCAGCAATGGCAAGGCACTAAGCAACTGAGTGAGACTATGTCTCTAAATAAAACACAAAATAGCGCTGGGGATGTGGTTCAGTGGTTGAGTGCCCCTGAGTTCAATCCCTGGTACCCACCCCCCAAAAAAGAAATGATCCCATGGGCTGTCCTGTTGACTCAGCCTATTTTCAAACAGTTGCAATATTTCTATTGTCCATAAGATTTGAGGGTGAATAAGGGTTTTTTTGAGGTACTGGGGATTGAACTCAGGACCTTGAATATACTAAGCAAGGGCTCTACCACTGAGCTACATCCCTAATCACAAGAGTGAATAAGTTTATAGGTACCATATTATTATTATAACTCAATTTATAATCTAGTTGCCTACAAAATGGGTTGACCTAGATTTAAGACCCATTGTTGGCAGAATAAAATTACCATTAAGATTGTTTCTGGAAAAAAAAATGAAAAACAAACAAACAAACATTGTTTTGGGAAACAGAGCTGGAAGCAAAGCCATAGCTGACACCAGGTCTTCCAAAGGCAAAATAGTATTGTTTGATAACATTCCTCATAGCCTTCGTAGGAATTTGTGAAATGACTACTGACTTGGATTTAAGAATCATGAATCATAAATGATCAAGTTTTTATCATAATGCTTATTACATCAATTCACAAAGATAGATTTTAGAATAATAAAAAATTACAAGACCTGATATTCTGTCCTTTTAAAAAAATTCTTCAAGGTGACAAGGTGTAAAGAAAAAAAATTGGTCTAAGAAATAGCCACTTGATGGATGGGAAGGCCATTTATTCTGTAACTAAATGTTAGTCTCCTATGGAGCGTTGTACTCACTATCCTAGGCAGGTAGAGACAAGCTAAGAAATATTATTCACCCTCCTTAGTTTCCAGAGACTTACAGTTTGGTTGGGCAAAGTAAAAGCACTATTTAAAAGAGATATACAATTTAGCAATACATGATTAGCTATACAATTTAGTAGCAATGACATACAGTAGAAGTCAAGGGAAAACTTAATGGAAGAAGTATGGCTTATGTTGAACCTTGAAAGATGAATATGATGTGATTACATAGAGAAAAGAGGAAAGGCACTCCAGAAAAAGGAAACATAAACAAAATATTTGAGTTATAAATGAACATATTTGTGTTCAGTATAGTGAAGATTGTTTATTACTAAGAGTATGAGATAAATTTGAAAAGGTTCATTGTGTCCATGTTTTGGGAATTCCAGGCTGAGGAGTTTGGAAATTATTCTTCATTCAGTAGGGACTATTCATAGCTTTGGACTAGGACATAACTTGATGACATTGGCATTTTACAAGTATTAAATTGGCAACAGTGTTCATAGTATAATTGAATGGGATGTCTGGAGGTAGGAAATGAGAAACTACTGAGGAAGTTGTCATTCACTCACTTATCCATTCATCCATCCAACATCCAAGCAACCAACCATTTATTTATTCCAAAAAGTATAGAGGTATGTGATGAGCTAAGCATGAGATAATAAAAACTTAGTAGCAAGAAGTGAAAGGAAGAATATAAGAGGGGCTGGGGATGTGGCTCAAGCGGTAGCGCGCTCGCCTGGCATGCGTGCGGCCTGGGTTCGATCCTCAGCACGACATACAAAGATGTTGTGTCTGCTGATAACTAAAAAAAATATTAAAAATTCTCTCTCTCTCTCTGTCTGTCTCTCCCCCTCTCTCTCTAAAAAAAAAAAGAATATAAGAGGCATTTCAAAGGAAGAAAAAGAGATAACCTCAATTTTTCAAACTTCTGATGACTATAAGAAGTGTGAAGATGGATGGAACTTAAGAACACTATGTTGAACGAAATAAGCCAAACTCAGAAGGTCAAGGATCATATGAAAATTGAAGGCATACCAGTAGAGGAAAGGGACGGGGTGGGGGGGGGGATAGAAGAAGTGAAGGAAGGAGGGGAATGCTGGTGAGTGACATTGGCCAAATTATATTGTTATATTATGCTCATGTATAAATATATAACAATAAATCCCACCATTATGTACAACTATAATGCACCAATAAAAATGTGGAAAAAAAGAGGTAAAAATAAAAGTGTGGTGCCACTAAGGGAAACAGAAAAGTTGTGGAATACAGAACAGAAGTTCAGATGAAGAGCTGTTCTGAGTGTATTGAAAGAAGATGATATTCACATAGGAAATTCATAATATATAAGCAGGACTGTCATTATTATATAGCCTAAAATCCAAGTAGGAAAATAAATTATAAATGGGAATTAATATAATAAGTAAGGGTCAGATTAAATGCAACTAGGGCCTCTGCACAATCCAAGATTCCATCAACTGAAGAAAGGATCTTCCCTGCTGATGAAATTACCATACAACTTAGAGGACACCTTGTCTAATTCCACACTCATTATTTTGATGACATTTGCAGTAAATGGTCATCCAGCTTCTCCTTGAACTTTCCCTGGGATTATGAGCTCATAACATCCGTAGGCAGCTCTGTGACATTTTCAGACTGCTCTGTTCCTCACTAAATAGAGCTGAAATCCATATTATTCTGCCTTCTAAGCTTATCACAATACTATTATGATTCTTTTCTCACTTAAAAACGCTTAAGAGGATTAAAAGTAGTGATTATTGTCAACCTATTGTCTTCTTATGACACATTTCATGGAGTCATAGTTACTCTAAAGGGGTTGAATATTCAAGTCCAAAAGTCATGATTCCATGACTCACCTGGAGGTCCTCGGAGGCCTTTTTGCCCTGGCAATCCATCTATTCCTTTATCTCCAGGAAGCCCACGGGGTCCAGGAAGTCCTGGTAGCCCAAGTCCTGGAGGGCCAGTTGGACCATGATGGCCTTTTTCACCAGGAAGTCCTGGGAACCCCTTTTCACCTGGGAAGCCCTGTCCACCATCACCCTAGATAACACAAAAAAGAATGAAAGTCTATCTCAGAGACTTTCTTGGAGAGTCCTCTGATCATAGGAATAAGTTAACCAATATGACCAATGATTTGTGTTTCACTAAAATTCTCCATGACTGTAGTTTATTAATCAACCTTCTCTGAGTTTAGTTAGTGGGAATGGTCTTTCAATTCTGTGTGATCTAATACTTCAAAAGGTTCTCTGCTGTGGGGAGAGGGCAGGCAATGAGCAGTATAACAACCCTTGAGGTCATAGAAAGCAGTTGAATTACGTGAAGGAGAAAGCTACTGAGAAGCTGAAACATTTTCAAGTACATTTGGTCAATTGTTACTAGCATTTATCAAAGGAGACAATGATCATTCTGAGAAAAAGATTCCAATTTTACAGGAAGAAAAGCAAAGAGCCTAAAATGTCATTGCAGAGCCAGGATGAGATGCTCCAAACTATTCTGTCCTGTTTCCTGGTCCAGGGGCCATCAGATCTCCCCTAAATCAGGTGTGAGAATTTACAGAGTTAATTATCCAGGAACGATCAACTTACCCGAAGGCCTGGCAGACCTGGTAAACCTGGTACTCCATCCTTGCCTGGGGCTCCTGTTAGACCAGGGAACCCCTGGGGGCCAGGATCACCTTTCTCCCCTGGCATGCCAGATCCTGTACTGAGAGTTGGTTCACCCTTCTTTCCTTTGGGGCCTACAAGACCTGGAGGCCCAAATAGTCCCTGACAAAACAGACAAAAGGGAATAATGGGGAGATGTAGACTTTGTAGAATTGTGGCACATATGATCCAAGGGGTCCTTGGGTACATATTGGTACTGATCTGGACACTTGATTACATTGTCATCTTGAATAATAACTGCCCCATTTTCTGTGTCCTTTCTAAATTTTGAAATATCTGAGAGTTGAAATCTCATCTTAATTCCTGTTTTATCTTCAGGGCCCAGCATGGTGCTAGGCAAATGTAAATAATTTTGTGGGAGGAAGAGAAAGAAGGAGGGAGGGAAGGTTATAGCGCAGAGGGACTTTAGAGATCATCTAGTCAGAATTCTTTGTGTTATGGATCAAAACCCCAAAGCTTTGTTTTATATCCTACTTTTATGTGCTTTAGGAAAGTGATTGGTGAGGAGTGAGGGACACTTGAAAGCACCCTTTTCTCCCTCAGGGCCAAACTTTGGCAAGACTTACTGGAGCCCCTGCTGGGCCTTGTGTGCCCCCTGAGCCTGGATCTCCTCTGGTTCCTTTAAGGCCTGGAAGGCCCATGAGACCTTGTGGCCCAGGCAGACCTGGTTCTCCGGGTGGGCCAGTACTGGGGACACCACCATCACAAGCACAAAATCCCGAGTCCCCTGGGAGAAAAACAGATGACATAAAATAAAGTGGGTCCTCTATCTAAGAAGAAGGAAGACCTGATATTGGTTATTTGTGACTTGAATAACTTGCCTTGGAGAGAATCAAGAGACCTGCAGAAAAGAGACTTAAATGAACTAGGCTTACTCTCCCTCAGAGTACATCTGTGCTAGTAATTCAAATTCCATGAGTCAGGGATAATATCAGCCATCCATTGAGCCCAATGTGCAATCACTGTTGAGAACCACTGACTTAAACTTAACCAACTGAGAGTCAGAAAATGATAAGCCAGGAAAATGAGAAAACAATGTGTTCTTCAGATTAGTATAGGTTGAGTTTAAATGCTCTGAGATAGAAAACATTTTTTTTTTTAAATCTTGGCATTTTGGATTAGGGATATCAACCCATAAGGTCTATGCAAATATTCCCAAATCCAAAGAATATGAAATCAGAAACATTCCTAGTCCCAAGCATTTTAAATAAGGGATACTCAATCTGTATTTCTCAAGTGTGTCCATGGACCTCCCACATGAGTCACCTGTTTATAAGGCAGCTTTCTGGGCTCTATCCAAGTATGAATCAGTCAATCTTAGAAGGCTAGACCCAAGAATATAGTTTTAAAAACTTTCCCTAAGTGGTTCTGATGTAGAATGATGCTTGAAAGTCACTCTCACTATTCTAGACTTAGAGAAAACCTTTTGGGCCCATGGAAATTTAGAAGGGGTAGCATTAGTTCTCACTCCTCTTTTAGGAGTGAGAACGATATTGAGAAATACACCAGCCATATAGAGAGTCAGGGAAGAGCCAGAATTAACATCCTAAATTCAGTGATTTGCAATTTAATATCCTTTGCCCTCACATAGTCTTCCTTGAGTCTGAATAATAGAGATCAATATTGCTGAAATTTCTGAACTAGGTCAAGACCTGAGATCTGAAACAGGTCACTGCTCCTATACTTAGGCAGTGGTATTTTATGAGAGGGCACTGAAAAAGAGAGAAGAGCTGTTAATTCCTGGAGAGAACAGGAAGTCTCAGATATCTGAAGCCCCTAAGCCATCCCTAAACCTCTGCCACCCACGTCTGGGTTGCAAGCATAATGAATTGATTTATTTAAGCATCTTCCCTTTAGAGGAAGGAATGGAGAAATGACCCAAAGGCAGAAAGAAGATGAGAGAATCAGTGTGGTGGAAGGCTAGATTCATTGATCAGCTCTTCAGCACCATTGGGGACTTGGGTTGTTTTCCTGGAGTTAGTTTATTCAATCTCAGGTCTTGAGCAGTTCAGAGTCCTTTCCTTCAGGCTGAAGGTGATGATAAGTGGCTTCCAGTCTTGCCCTTGCAAACTGGAAGTGTTAAGCTCATTAATACCCTGACAGCTAGCAATAGCTTCAGCAGGTGGAGGGATTATGAAAAGCAGCCTGCACCATTGTGTCCTATGTGACCTCAGTTGCCAGTCTTGGTCTTAGAGCCCTAAATATAGCACTTCCAATAATCTTGTGATCAAAGCCCCTCTCAAGAGTCAAAATTACTTCCATTCAGATTGCCAAGGCTGTTGTCTTGCTTATTCTCCATAAAGCTGTATCTAAGAAGCTTGGGGGACAAAGAAACTCAAAGGGACAAAATCACCTTTTACTCCTTTGAAACCTGGGCTTCCTTTTGGACCTTGTTCTCCTCGGAGACCAGGGAACCCCGGTTCTAGGCCATATAAGGTTCCAGTCTTAAATGGTGAACCTGAAGGGAAAAAGATACATGAAAGATTGGCAGCTTATAGAACTCAACTGACTTGACTTGACATAGAAGGTCCCTCACCAAGGCCTGTGTCCTTGAGGCTCACCACTCAGAGACAAAAATATCTAAAATGGGGACCTCCAAGTCTGAGGCAAGGAGCTAACAAATCCTTTTGGCTCAATTTACTCCACTAATACTTAACAGAATTTTTACTATGTCCCAGGCACTATGCCAGGCATTGGGTATTCAGGGATGAACATGGTGGCTTCAGTAACTCAGCAGCCCCAATATGTAACCCAGAAAGCCCCCTTGGGACAAAAGAGAAAATAGCTGCAGGATGAAGTGGTTAGGAGCTCTTAGGGTACAAAGAAACATGCTGGGGAATATTTCTAGCCTTTCTCTCAGAATCTGGATTCCCATATTCAAGTATAATATCTAAGAAGAACAGACTCTATGCAAGCTTTCATTCATTCATTCATTTGGTGCTGGGGATGGAATCCAGGGCTTCATACATGCCAGGCAAATACATGCTCTACCACCAAGCTACACCCTCATCCCCACCTACATAGGCTTCTTTAGTAGCCACCTTGAGGATCTGGGCATAGTTTCTCCTTTCTTAGTCTTTCAGCCCATTCCACTTGAACTCCCTGAACCAGGGGAAGCTCAAAATAGCCAATTATACTTCTGCAGGAGCTGAAATGCTAGAGGGCTGAGGGCTGAGAACAGTGAAGGCTGTAAAGAGAATCTACAGAAGCTGAAAGGCATTAGGTGTTTTTGACCATCAAGATGGCCCTAGCTTGCTTGTTCCTTGATGAAGAACATTGTGGTATAGATGATAACAGCAGAGGCAGGGTTGACTCAGACAGTATGGAGCCTTCATTGCTCCCCCCTGTAGTTGATGTGTCCTCTTTTAGCTGTTTAACCTGAGATACTTCCTCAAAACTCATGACAGTTCTGTAGTATGAATCACACCTGATCCAGGTCTCAAGACCATAGAAAAAAAATGAACAACTTACCAGGTGGGCCTGGTGGGCCTGGTGGGCCTGGTAGGCCTGGGAAACCAATTCTTCCAGGAAGGCCAACTGTGGTGGGGCCTGGGTTTCCTTGGTCTCCTTTCAGGCCTGGAAATCCCTGAGGTCCTAGGGCACCTGGCATGCCTGGAAGGATAAGCCAACACAAAAATGCTCATCTCCCTACTTTTCAGGGGTATTCCAATCAGTGGCATATATGGTAAACAATTCAAGGAAAGCAACTGGGAAATCATTTGCCCTTCTCTTGCATCAGAGTTGAAATGTTCCTAGAGGATGAATGAGCCTAGCCTTTTGGAAAACTGAAAACCAAAGGACAGAAACACAGTCAGGAGCAGTTTCTTAGTGGCAAACTTGAGAGGAAAACTGAGTCTTAAGCCTCTGACTCCTCAAGTTTTTTTTTTTTTCCATTTTGAGGCTGGGCCCAGCTGTTCTTCCTCCAAAATTCTGCTTTAAAAGCACAGGTATCCTTACAGAGGCCCATCTCCATGGAAATTGGGAACTGGTGAGTTTAAAAGTAATGTCTAAGGTTTTATATCTGTGATAGTTCCCCCTCCCAGACTCTAGCATGTTCTTTCTCTGCTTGCGACTTCAGAGTGACACAAGAGTATACTCTTCTGAAGATTGGTGCAAGGAGAATACCCACAGGATCCAAGGACCAGATAGTGCTTGAGTTAATCCCAGAGTCAGGGTCTGGGTACAAATTTGCCTTTGGGCTTTTGTTAGACTCTCTTGGCAAGCATCAACTAGAATGGCACTTCAACAGGAGAGTGATAAGGTTCCAGCTGCCAGAGGTACGCCTCTGATTGCAACAAACCTCACTGACAGTCTGGGGTTGTCTGTCCAGCTACGGTACATCATTTAAGTCAAAGGAAAGCTGTTTACCCACATTGGGCTGGCAGAGGGAGAACTTACTGACTGTAGTGTAACTTACCTTTGACCTTGGCTATGTGTGTGCCCAGACCCAGAGTCATTAGAAAAGGCTGTGAGGAACCAGAGTGGACACAGGACTGATCTGTGCAAGGGTTGGGTTAGGTTTTTTTTTTTTTTTACCTGTTAAGGCTGGGAGACCAGGGGGGCCAGAAGGGCCACGCTGGCCCTGGATGCCTTCATCTCCTTTAAGGCCAGGGAGGCCTGGTATACCAGGGTCCCCAGGATAACCTGGCGTTGCAACAGAAAATAAAACAGTGAACAAACACAGCAGAACCCCACCAATGTCACAAAATAACCAACAAAAGATATGGGGAGCTGTCATGAAGCTAGAAGTCCCTTTCTGGGTTTCCCAGATGCTAATGGCTTCACATGATAATAGGCCTACGGAAGCCAGTATTCTACTAGGGTTCAGAATTGGTCTGGCTAGGGCTTTCCTTCCAAGATAAGATCTGGCAAATGGTAGGAGAGTTCTTCCCCTGCTACTAATCTCCTGTAACACCTCAAATGTCTACCATTTGGGTTAAGATGAAGTCCACTATTTGTGTTATATACATAGGGTTCCTGGAAGCAGAAAGCCACTGTAAACTATCAGTATCAGACAGGGTATGGAACTGGAAGAATGAGAGGAAAGGAGTAAGTTTGGAGACCCAGGTGGAAGAGGCACTATAGTAGAAACCTTTGATCAGGCAAGAAGTAGCTAGAGACACTGGGCATCTGAATCTTTGGAAGAGGCAAAGGGAAGAGTTGGACACACAGTAACTAGCAAAAGGAGAAATGAAGACAAACTTTCATACTGTTGAGGGTTCTCAATAACTTGCTCCCCTAATCCTGTTATTGGCAAGCACAAGCATGCATGGGATCATCTATATGAGACCCTGAGTGTTCCATAATATTGGGCTGAAACCAGCCCATATAGGGAGGATATCAATCCTTCCTTAAGCATCACTAGGAAAACCATTTTTATGAAATTCAGGCCCAGGCAGACCCAATTTCTAATTTTTTTCTTTTGTACTGGGGATTGAACCCAGGGGCAATTTACCACTGAGCTATATCCCAGTGCTTTTTTTTTTATTTTGACACAGGGTCTTACTAAGTTGCTCAGGGCCTTGCTAAATTGCTGAGGTTGGCCTTGAACTTGCAATCCTTCTGCCTCAGCCTCCCAAGTTGCTGGGATTACAGGCATGTGCCACCATGCCTGGCCAAATTCTACTCTTTTTTAAAAACAATATTTATTTTTTAGTTGTAGTTGGATGAAATACCTTTATTTTATTTATTTATTTTTATGTAGTGCCGAGGATTCAACACAAGGCCTCACATGTGCGAGGTGAGTGCTCTGCTACTGAGCTACAGCCCCAGCCCCCAAATTCTACTCTTGATGGACCCAACACAAAAGTGGGAGGCTGAGCTTGTCTTCTCTGCCCAAGAGACTGGAATCAGCTCCATTCCCCAAGTTCAGGACCCACGAAGGGCCCTTAGTAGGGTCAGCAATCCAGTGGCTGACAAAGTATCGTTTATTAATTATGGGGGATGTAGAATTTAATGTCCAGTCTCTTCTTCTCCCGTCAAATCAATGAAGAGTTGCACCTGAGATCACAGCACCACCTTCATCGATGTCTGGGCCTGGCAGGCCAATGCCACCCTTTTCACCCTGCAAAGATTAAATACATTAAACACAAATATTTCTCTGACCTCATCACACAAGATCTATGTGTTCTCATAGCCAGTACCTAGGAAAATGAAATGTTCCTCCTTCTCAGACCCTTGATTTCAAGGGCCAACTAGTCCAGAGTTAATTTCAAAGGGCAATAAATTTAAGTCAAAGGTGACACAAGGCAGGCCAGAGGCCTGGCACTCGATAGCAAACCTGTCAAGGACAAGGAATCCCAATTTTATTTTGCAATACTACTTAAGGTCATTCTGCTTCTGGGCCTGGGAAATACATCACAGGCATAGACAACATGGACATACCCAAGAGGTGCTAAGGAGGGAGCAGAATTTAAAAATGTTTTCTACTCTCGGCAGGCTTGGGACTGTAATACTGTCACTAGCTTTGTTAGTGGGTGATGTCAGGTAGAGAAAGTCAAAGGAGTCCTAACTCTCCCAAAAGAGGGACCCAGGCACCAGAATAAGTTATAGTGGAATACCCAAGATAGGTAGTAGGCACTGTCAGCCCCAGGTGCAGGCAACAAGGGATACAAGTCTGTAGAGAATTTAAAAATAATAATAAAACCTAAAAGTTGGTAGTATCTGAGGAATGCTCATCAGCTTGGTGTGCTCAAAGTATGTTGTATGTATTTCTGGAGGAAAAATATACTGTCTAAAACATCAGTATTAAAAACACTTCATTTAATATGTAGGCATTTATAGTAATTCTTCACCTTTCCACCTCCTGAACCCTAAATTTTCACTTCCCAACCACATTACCTTAATTCCTGGAAATCCATTCAGCCCAGGAAAACCTGGGGGCCCCATCATGCCCTGTGACAGAAACATAGTTATCACTAAGTTTAAAGAATAAGTGTATAAATGGAACTGGTGTTTGAATTAGGCCAGGGCAAATTGCACAGGAATTTTGGCTGGCATTCAGGGTATGTGTGGCTTCTAACTGACTCTGGAAGAAGAGAAGGCAATATGGCACTAGACAGTCTACTTGCATATTAGGAAGTACAAAGGTCACAAGGCTATGGCTACAAGCAGGCTAGCCATGCTAGTCCCCAATATGATGCCAAAGATGTGTTACCATATGATGATGTGACAAGGCACCAAATGTGACATTGGATACCTATCCATGCTCTTAGGTGAAAACAAAAGAGATTGGCTAAGATTACATTGTTAAGGTTAAGTGGACAATTTGCATTCTAAGCAATGTCTCCATTTGGCCATGTTAAGAAAAGCAAGGGGGCCTTTTGATTAGAATTTTGTACACAAATGCTTTACTGATATTAACCAAAATACCTGTGTCCCTGGAGGGCCTGGGACTCCTTCTAAACCAATAGGACCCTGTAAAGAGAATAGCCACACCTTAGAAAGATTATTGGCCCACACTGGAAAAAGTTGCTAGACTTACATAATAAAGCTCTCCAACTGAGTTCAGGATTTAGTGGCTCCTAAAATCAGGTAAGAGAATGTTCCTAGACCTGACTTAATGACTTCTTTCTAAGCACTAATCCATCAGGCTGAATAGCATTTGTAAATGGAGCATTTTTAAAAGCTAAATAAATGGAAACATTTTAAGTAGTAGGTGGAATTTGGTAGAAGGGCTGGGTGGTATTATACTTAGTTTGCATTAGTTCCAAGTCAGAGGATTTTATAATAGATTATGGGACAGCCTCTTGTCTTCCACCTCAAATACATACTTTGTTGGTGATTATGTGTTTTTAAGACAACAGAGACAGAAAGATAGAGAAAGACATGGCAGGGTAATGAGTGAATATTGTGAAATACTCAAAAGAACTCCTAAAAACTGCGTGGACAAACTTAAAACACAGTTCTCTTTATAATGTTACTAATTTAACTAAGGCTAGCCAACTGCTTATAGTTGAAGATCTAAGTGCCTTAAGCTAGGATCAGATAGGCTGATAGTTATTTTTCCATTCAAAGTGACATTATTATTGTCAACTATTGACTCCAAGCTTACTACATTCTATAATTACCCAAGCTTATTTCTGTCCTATAAAGATTGCACTTGTTCCTCTTTCTTACATCCTTGTGCTACCTCCCACCTACATTCTACTGGGAGAGAATGGAATGAAAGAAAGACAACACAAATATCTTCTTTAGCTCAGAAGATAATTTACATGAGGGCAAGGATAGTAAATAGGCTGAGCAGCCACCTAGAGTAGGGAGTATATCATTCCTTATTCTAGAGAGACACTCAGTCAAGGGAATAGGGCCAAGTAGAGAGAAGGAACCTATCAGGGGGCTGAGGGAGAGAAACAAGAGAAACTTAGGTGGCTATCGAGTACATAAAATAAAGGACCAGACATTAAAGAAAATGCATCAGGTGACTTGACAAACCGGGGAAAGCAACATTCCAGGTTCATACCCTAGGTCCTGGCAAACCAGGGATTCCCTTTTCTCCCTTTTCACCAATAGATCCAAGTTCCTAGAGGTAAAAAGAAACCACAGGTTATGATATTCTTCTTCTCTTAGGTCTCCAAGCTCCATTCAAAAGAAGGAGGTAATTTCAAATCAGCTCCACTGTTCCACTAGGGAGGCTAATCATTTTGCTGAGTCTCTTGCCAATGCCTGAAAAGCACATAGGGCCTGAACATAATTTAGACTATTCCTTCAGCATTCCTTTTTGATTCTAGAAGTAATGTCTTTCCCCCAAAACACTATTACATGTATTTATAACACCATGAGCTAACAGCACAGGAATAATAAAATACCTAATCTCTTTGATTCTAGGGAACAGGAAACTAACACAGAGAAAGGTTAAGAATCAACGAAAAAGTCAGGTCTCCTGTCGTTCATTTCTGGGTCCTTTCCATGAGAATCAGTTGTCTTCTACCATCTAGGAAATGGACTCTTTGACCCACAGAAGACGGTGCAAATCCTTGGGGGTCTGTAGGTTGATACTAGAGGGAAGAATTTTCCCCTTTGGAGACATGATGACTGCAACACCCTTTTCTGTAGGAAGGATTTTTTTCTACCCAGAACTCTGCAGCTCCATACTGGGAATGTAGGGTTCTTGCCAGGTCCTAGGAGTGTTGCAAATGGAACTGTTAAGATAGACTCCAGTCCTTCTTGCCCTGCTCACAGGAGGTGAGGGTGAGTAGCCATGGGTATGAATTGGGGATTCTCTAGGAAAAAAACAAGGACTCAAAGAAGCATACTGAATGTGAGAGAGCTTCCTACCCTGTGGGTATCAGGTAAACATCTGGTCCCCCAAGATACAGAAGAGTTCATTACCAAACTGAATAAAGTCTTTAATGGAAAACTTAAGTGGGACCATTTTGTTTTAATGGAAAACTTAAGTGGGACCATTTTGTTTTAATGGAAAACTTAAGTGGGACCATTTTGTTATCATTGTTTGAAATTGCCTATTTTGGAGCATAGATTTTGGCAAATAGCACTTGGGCCTATCATGAAAGTAAAGGAGGCAATGAAGCTTTCTCAAATGGAAACTTGTGAAAAGATGCTACATGTTGTAGTGGCACGTCTCCTATTGTCCACTTAATATGACCTGGCTCAGCTGGGGTGAGGGCACGGGTCCAATCCCATTTGTAGCTTTTTCTTACTCTTACATACTCAGTGCATTCCCATGGGCACTGAAGGCTGGCTGAATACCCCCATGGCTTTCTAGGCTTAGGATTTTGTTTTTTTCCTTAATGTGGGTTGCCTGTTGTTATTGTTGTTGGTTTTTATTATTGTGGGGAGGGTATGTGGCTGTGAAGGGTCCAATTCAAAGTAGGTTTTGCTTCCTACTTGCCTTTTCTCTTTTCTACATCTACAGTTGTGTGTCAAACAGCTCAGCCCTTATGCTGAATAGATTTTCTAATTCTAAAGGACTGTAGGTCAAACTGAATGCAAACTCGTTTGAAGTGTTTGAAATGTTTTTTTTTTTTTTTTTTTTTTTTAACATTTCAAATTGGAAACCACCGTATGCTGCCACCTGGTGGAATGTGTCTATGGGCCTCTGAGTTTGAACACTTCAAGCGGTCTTCCCTGACCTGACCAGGAAAGCTGTGATAGCCAGTGTTGCCCTCAAATCTTAAAGCACTAAGATTGGCTATGTATGAAAGTTTTGTAAGCAGAAGGCCTCTGTCACACTCTCTTCTGTTTCCCTCCAAGGCGCTGTTACTGCTGCCTGAACACATACAAGGTAGTCCAGTAAATGATTGCTGAATTGAAGGCTTGGTTAATGAATAAACTTGTTTTAAATTGGTTTAAAAAGTTGTTGAATTGAATGGAATAATGACCAAGAGAAGGGGCAAGCAGTGAAGAATAGAATGCCCAGAACTATCTCATGCCCCCCACTTATCTTGCTCAGTTATAAATATAAGGGGACTTTGTACTCCTTCTTTAGAAAGCAGAGAAAGCCTCAAGATTCTTGCTTTCTCAAAGAGAGTCTAAGAACTAGTGTTACAATGTGAACAAAAATAAATACATGAAAAATGTAAAAAGGAAAAAAATAAAGAAATGTGTGCATGTGGAATTGAGCCATTAAAAGATAAATGGCTTGGCAAGACACTGCTGTAGTCTCAGCTTGTCTCCCAGCACAGGGAGGCACTGTACAGGGACCCTGCTGAATAAGCTATTCTAGCAAGTTGTCCCGGGACCTGGCCCATCACAGCCAGCTCTTGTTGAAAGTGGTCCTGCAATGGCTGCTCCCACACTCCTACTCCCCCATGACCTGGAGAGCCTCACTAGAGCACTAGCTTAACTCTTTCCTGCTCTCCTGCACCCTGGGCTCCTGATGATTTTAAGTTCCAGGGAGACTCAATTGAAAGAAAAGCCCACCTATCCATTAGTTACCTCAGATCCACTCAATAGTTACTTCAGGATGTGACAGTTTCTTCTCTTCTGCCTCCCCTCACCTCTTCCAGTTTGCCTTCTGGTTGCTGGCCCCTTGGACAGAGGGCACATGGGTATACAATTCTCTCTGATAACCTCCATAGGAGGAACTGTACCCTACAAGTGTGAGTGTGCTGCTGGGGATGGGGTATAGGAAGCTAGAACTGAGCCAGAAAAATCAGGGCTATTTGGTCACTGGAGGTGGGGGCAAGCTAAAGAAAAGGAGGTCTAAATCTGTTAGATTGGGTACCTTGTCTCCTGCAAAAATTTGGGCTCAGATGGAAAGGAAACAAATGGCTAAAGGGAACATCTTAGATTCCCTAGAGATTTGCATCCTCAGCAACGCCTTGTTTTTCAGTGAGCATAGATAACTGAAAGCTGATGAGAGGACTTTGGATTTGAGAAGTGTGTTTCCCCTGAAAAGCCCAGAATGCCCCAAATGTTACCACCTTTCTCGTCATAGCTTTTCTGCCAAAGGTACTTAGGAACGTTCCCATTAAGCAGATAGAGATATTAGAAACAAAGCAGTTACATGATTTGGCCACAGTAACATTGAATCTGTGCTGAAATGGGCTCAGAACTCTGATTTCTGTTTCCACCCTATGAAATTATGATGTTCTATGTAAAAGGAGGTATTTTCCAGCTTTGATTTCTTTGCAACTGGCCGTTTCCACTTTTCAGCCCTCACTGTGAAATACCCTCACTTTTCAGCCCTCACCAGAAATACTGAGCTTGAAATGGTGTTGCAATTTATTACTGCACATTGTGGTCAGTCAGTTTCTTTTTATTTTATAGGACAAAAGGGAAAAGATTGAAATTGCAACAGAAGAAATCCTCTGAGCTCCAACTGAAGAAAAGGCATGACAGTGAACCAGTGAATCCTATAGCACCAGAGATCATAAAATCCTTTCTATGTGATTTAGAGACAAAACACCACCACCTCGGTGAATAGAACAAACTGGACAGTAGGGGGCAGTATGGTATGGGGAAAAAAAACCCTAAACTGGCTAGAATTCGAATGTGATAGACATCATTATCCAAAGTACATATATGAAGACATGAATTGGGTGTCAACATACTTTATATACAAACAGAGGTATGAAAAATTGTGGTATATATGTGTAATAAGAATTGTAATGCATTCCGCTGTAAGTTTTTTTAAATCAATAAAAAAATGAATGTCAATCTCAACTCTGCTAATAACTAGCTTTGCAAATCTGGACAAGAATCTTCATCTGTTCAAGCCATGGTTTCCTTGTCAGTATGAGGCATAAGCCAGGCTTATCCCAGGCTTTTCTTACCTTGCTTACCTCACAGGGTGCAAGATGGCTAGTCAGAATCTACGTGAAATGCTCTACAAAGAAATGTGCAAGGGCTGGGGCTGTAGCTCAGTGGTAGAGCGATTGCCTTGCACACATGAGGCACTGGGTTCGATACTCAGCACCACATAAAAAGACAAATAAAATAAAGATATTGTGTGCCTATCTACAACTAAAATACCAATTTTAAAAAGGCCCAAACCTACTTGCAAAGAGCTCTTCAACAGAAATATAATATGAGCTATTATATTTTCAATTTTCTAGTATCCACATTAAAAAGTAAAATAGAGATTCGTTTCACAATGTATCTTATTTACCTAAATATACAGTAAATATTATCATTTTCACATTGAAGTAAAACTTGTTTCAGAGATATTTTAGGCTATGTTTTTCATACAAAAGTTTTAAGATCCGATGTGTATTTTACATGTACATTACGTCTCATTTCAGATCAGTCATATTTCAGGACCTCAGTAATCATATGTGGCCACTGGTTATATTATTGGACAGCACAGCTTTGTATTTTGTAAAGAAACTTCACATACATTGTGACCAGGACCCCAAAAGAGTAAATATGACCACAGCCGTATTACAAATATACAGACAGAGGTTCAGCAACTTGCCAAAGTACCAAAGCTGGAGCTGGGCGTAAGGACTAGGTGTTTGTATCTGACAGCAGGTTTCTGTTGCTTTCTGATTCATTAGCTGCACAGCTGATTAAAATCAAGGACACTGAACAAATGATTCTCTATGCTCATTTGTTTCTACAGAGTAATAGGAATCCTCATGGAAGCAACCTGTGTCACTGGCTCCCTTGTTTTGCTTTCTGGCCATCCAGAGAGAGACAAAGTGTTTCAAAATACTGTAGGGAAGGACTGGAGCCATCTATCCCCATTGTGATAGCAAACAGGGGCAGGACTTGTCACCTTTGATTCATTAATTAATTTTCCTCTTATTCTCTACCTCAAATCCATGAAAATCTTGTCAGCTTCTTCAAAACATCTTATGATTTGAGATAGATAAACCAAATATAATATATCAGTTTTATTTGTTTTCTCATTCCAACAAGGCAACTGTAATTATATATATACATATTTATAATAAATTTGAATTTTTGTTTTATTAGCTGATATCAAGTAATTACTGATCATTAATTAGTGATGATGATATTGTCACTATGTTTTAACTCAGTTTTAGAAATACTGTGGTATTTATGATGAAATGATATTTGCTTCAGATTTGCCGTGTTTTGCTAATTGTTGAATCCAGGTGATGAGTACCTGTAGGGGTCATTATGGCATTCCCTCTGTTTTGGTGTATGTTTCAAATGTTCCATAATAAAAAATGTAACATGTTTACATTTTGAATTCATCCAATTCTTCCACTTCCATTGCTACCACCAGAGTCCAAGCCACCACCATAATTGTTTACCTGGCCTTCTGCAATAGCCTATGTTTTCTCTTCTATCCCCTATCCTCTCTCCCACCCAGTCAGAGTGATCTTTCAAAAATACAAGTCAGATACTTCCAATGGCTTCCCATTAAACTTAAAAACTACATTGGACCTGCAAAGATGGCCATGATCTGGCTCCTGCTTCCCTGTTTCTTGTCCTTGCTTACTTTGTCCTGCCCACTCACCTTGAAGTTCCTCCAAAGTGATGAACTTTATCCAACTTCAAGGTCTTGGTACTTAATGGTTCTCTTGATCTGAAACTCCCTGGTCCTTTCCTGACTTGCTGTCTCATAATATACAGGTCTCTGTCCACCTATCAGTTCCTGAGAGAGACCCTTGTGGGGACTCTGTCCCAAGTGGTCCACTCTATTCCCCACCCATATTCTATCACTTTACCCTTTTTCCATCTTTTATATGATGATATATGAACTTTCTTCTTTTTGTGTGTGGTGCTAGGGATAGAATCCAGGGCCTTGTACATGTTAGGCAAGCACTTTACTACTGAGCTACACTACCGACTCCTGTATTTAGTATGGATTTAACTCATGTTTATTTCCCATATTCTCTGTCACTCCCATTAGAATATGATCACAAGGAAAGAGACATTTACTTAATGACTGTTATAACCTCTTTTATGGTTTAGATATGAGTTGTCCCCCCAAAGCTAACATATTAGACAACATAAGAGAGTTTACAGATGAAATGATTGAGTTGTGACAGCCTTACTGGAAAGGATTAACTGGATGGCAACTGTAATCAGGTACATTGTGGCTGGAACACGCAGGTTACTATGGGCATGCCTTCAGGGTTTATATTTTGTCCTTGTTGAATAGAGTACTCTCTCTTTCTCTCTCTCTGCTTCTTGATAGACATGGCCTGAGTTTCTCCCCTCCTCCATGCCCTTCCACTGTAATGTTCTGCCTCACCTTGGGCCCAGAACAATGGAGTTGGCTGTTTATATACCGAGAACTTGGAAACCATGAGTCCCAAATAAACTCTTCCTTCTGTAATCTTGTTCTTCTCATGTCTTTTGGTCACAAAAACAAAATAGTTGACTAAAACAGCCCCTGAGTTCAGTAGAATGCCTGCCATAAAGGAGCCCCCACAAAGTATTTGCTGAGTAAAAGAATCTAAGCTAGAAAGGCAGATACATAAGTAGAGATAGTAATACTAAGAAGACTTACCATTTACTAAACATTTTATAAGTTACCAGTATGCACAAAGCCTTTTTATTGCATATTATCTCATTTAATTCTTAGACCCACTCTATCACTTTTTTTGTAGGTTAGGGAACTAAGACTCAGAAAAGTTAAGGAAATTTTAAAAATCTAGAAACTGATGAACCCAAAAGTCAAGCCCAATTCTGTTCTAATGCTAGAGCTTGAGCTGATAACCTCTAAAATATACAGATTCATGGAGAATCACATTAATGTCCTCATGAATTCAAGAATCAAGAAAATTTCCTTAAATGCCTTATTATAGTGGTACTGGTAGCATTCTCTTCAACCACCATGAGAAGAGGTCTTTCTGTTAGCCTCCTAGTGCTAAAGGTTTTGTCCAATCAATCCCTTTAATATATGTTGACCAAGTAGGAAGACTTACCAGGAACCCTGGAGGGCCGCTCATGCCTGGGAAGCCTGGAGGCCCTGGTTCACCCTGGAAAATATGCCAAAGGCTAGTAAGTAGCATCAGGGAGCAGCAAACACAAAGAAGGATGGTTTTCTCAAAGAATTTGGGCTGGGGAGTGAGGAACTTATGGATATTAGGACTGGAGAATCAGATAGTGGTGTATATCCCCATGTTGCCTGATTGGCAGCTGTATCAAGATATCTTGTTTAGGGAGCCCTTTGCCATGTACAAAGATCAAGACCCATGACTGTCTAAAACAGAATCTCAAATGCATTGTTTGTTTAGAAGACAGAAAGAATGACTATTTTTTTCTTGTGGAAGAAACTGTTCAGTGTGATTTCCTGTAACAAACTATAGGCTACAAAGAAGTTACTGATTTGGGACTAGAATAACAGTGGCAACTTGCATAGGCACACATAGTGTTTTCTTCTGTCTTTCCCTTATTTGCTAATTTATCTATAGGTACCATAGAAGGGCTCCCTAAGGTGTGCAGGTGATCAGGGAAGCAGACAACCTTTTATATGCTCCCAGAGTTTCCTAAATCAATGATTATTTCCTGTAAACTTGGAGGGGCCTGGAGCTGTTGCTTCTATAAAGGCAATATTAAAAGTGTGAGACAAATCATGTTTGCCAGCTTGGGCCCTTTAGCCAAGGGAAAAATATGATAAAACTCAAAGGAACCCTAGGAAGGAAGGGAATTCAGGTTAATGAAAGGTTATCTGCACACCTTAACAGAACAAAGCCATTCAAATCCAACCATGTACATAGTATATATTCACCTATGCAAAAATATAGATTATGAAATATCTCAGTTAAACAAGTTTACAGGGTTGGTTTTGGTAGTTTAGATCAGGTGAATCAGGACATCTGCTACTAGCTGGTGACAGTATATCCTATTGTAATGTCAAATTTTGAGGTCAAATAACGTCTTCAAAAAGATAACTCAAATGGGATCCTAATTAGAATAAGTTATACTCCATGTATATATAATATACCAAAACACATTCTACTGTCATGTACATCTAAAAAGAACAAATTAAAAAAGATAACTCAAAATGAACCATTTCTATGGTATGTGTTCTGTTACAGTGCTTTGGGGACAACCTAAGTGTTGAGATGTTTGGGAGTTAGAAGGTAAAAACCCAAATGTTTAATTCTTGTTACCTACACATTGAAAAACAGACTCAGGTTCTTTAGAAAGCTTTTCACAAGGTACAAAAGAAAGAAGGCTTTACTCTTAGTCCCAAACAAAGGTCCATTACCTAAAACCTTTTATTTTTTTAGAATACTCTCATATTACAGATGAATTCTGGTATTAATAAGAAAGGGATTATTATTTTTTTTTCTGTTCTAAGTGTTTAATACCTTGGATCCTTTCTTCCCTTTGGGGAATCCCATGAATTCTAGTTCCCCAGTAGATGGTGGTGGTCCTGCGGGGCCAGGGAGGCCAACATCCCCCTGTAAAATCAAAGGGAACATTAAACAAAGGCTAAACCACACAGACTATTTATCCAGAGGGTGAGTCTATCCTCTGGATGTAATTAAAAAATAAACTGTCCATTACTGTGGTTGGTTCATCCTTGCATTTATGAGGAAACAAAACTCTCATTGCCAAGGGATTGAGAATTATAAGCCTGACCAAATGAATTTTGTACCAGCACTGCAGAGGGAAGAAGCAAGATAGATAAAAGAAACCCATGGATTGATGGTTGCCATGGTCATGCACAAAAGGGTTTTTAGAAGACAGCCACAAAGGGGTTTCAGCAAGGTGAACAGCTACCTCTTGGCAACAATGATCAATTCTAAATGGTACAAATCTTTGCCAAGAACGCAATCAGAGGCAGTGAAGTGTTTATTGGGACATTAGAGGCAACAGTTGCTCTTTCACAAAGCAGTGCTATCCACAAGAGCCAGGCAGGAAGAGGTGGAGCGCAAGTTCCCAGCCTCGTTAGAGATTCCCAAATCACCATGCAGTTTATACAGAAGGAAATGAGGGAAGGAGAGAAATAAAACAGAATTGTGAAAGAGAGGTTAAGAAAGAGACAGACGAGATAGACCGGGATAGAGAGAGAGAGAAGAGAAAAAAGAGGAGAAGGAGGAGCAGGAAGTATTAAGGGAAGGGAGGAAGCAGAGAAAAGGAAAGAAGGTGATGGAATATACAAAACCACAGGGCAAACCAGGTGGAGGGAAGCGAAGAAATATTTCAGGAGGGTATGTTTGTTAAGACAGGTAAGAAGCAGGGAGATGACAGTATTTTGAAAGATAAAGAACCACAAAAGCTGATGTGTCACATGTGTACATGCAGCCCTCAAGGGATCCCATCGGGGAAATCTATGTGGATAAGGAAATGCCCATTTCTTAAGGTGAAGTACCAATCCCCTATGGAACTGGAGACTATCATGCTAAGTGAAATAAGCCAAACCCCAAACCCCAAATATTCTCTCTGATATGTGGATGGTTGGGGGAAGGGAGAGGGAATGAGAATGGAAAAGACAGTAGAATGAATTGGACATAACTTTCCTATATTCATATATGAATACATGACCACTGTAACTCCACATGATGTACAACTGCAAGAATGGGAAGTTAAACTCCATGTATGTGTAATATGTCAAAATACATTCTACTGTCATGTATAACTAAAAAGAACAAATAAGAAATAAATTATAAAGATTATTATCACATAAAAAAGAACCAATTCTCTTTCACAAGCAGGCACATGCTTCAAGAAATTAGAGACATTTCTTGGAGCATGTGTAATGCAGATTGTATTTTCCAAAATCTGTTTACCTTGACTCCTTTCTCTCCTTGGAAACCTAACCCCATATTTCCCTGGGGCACAGGGGTACAGGGAAGAAAAACAAAATCAATTACAAACAAGTTCCAGGAACTTAAATTGAAATGCAGTATTATTTTTCTCTTACCAGAAAGTAAACTTAACCAAACTAGTATCTCTCTGGAGAAACCAGAGTACTAAGTAACGGGAGATAAAATGCCATAAGACAATGTATACTTACATCAGGACCAGGGAAACCAGGGGGGCCTGGAGGACCCTAGATTACAAGAAAAGAGTTAGCACCTGTTAATTTTCAAAGATATGGGCATGTTGGAAGTCACTGGGGATAAGTCCTCTTCCTGGCTTGGTGAAGACTGGCCTTGTTATAGCAGATTCTAGCTCCTTCTCTCATCGTTTCTTTAATCTCCTGCGAAAACTCTCAAATTGACCTGGTAACCAAATTCATGCTAAGGTAATGAAGACTTCATGTATCATTCTTCCCAACAGATCCAAAATTAAATATATATATATATTTTTTTTAGTTGTAGATGGACACAATACCTTTATTTTGTTTATTTGTCTTTTTATGTGGTGCTGAGGATCAAACCCAGTGCCTCTCATGTGCTAGGCAAGTGCTCTACCACTGAGCTACAACCCCAGGCCCACAGGTTCAAAAATTTTAAATGATGACTTGGTGAAAGTAAGCCAGAGTCACAAGCAAAGGGATGTGATGTACTGCACATATACCAGTGATACACATATTTGATACCAGAAAAATAGGTAGGTGGGTAGAGCCATCCAACATTCAATGCTGAGAAGAATTTTGAAGCTTTGTGTTCAGGGGATGTGACAGAAGTGGTGGTGGTATGATTGATTAGCAATGTCTGTCTTGGGTAAGGGAGCAGAAGATAGCAGAAGATATGCCATGTTTCTGCCATCCCTGGGCTATACTTTGAGTTGAGCTGAACTAGGAGGCTTTGGAGTTATAGATTGGATGGTAAGAAAGACTCTGACAAATAAAGATAACCAATAGCTCCTAGCAAGAACATGTTTCATATTAATCCTCCAGGAAGGGAAGTTACCCTTCTCTACTAAGACGGCCTAGATTACATAGGCTTACATTTAATCTGTAGCAAGGTAAAGAAAACAGTCATGCCAATATTGTGATCACATACGAGATTTAAGTTGGTCTTACTTGTAATCCTGGTGGTCCTATGGATCCTGAATCTCCAGGAGATCCAGGTGGTCCACGTGGGCCCTAGAGTAGTAAAGTTTTACCATGGTCAAAAACAAGACAGTTTTCCAAGAAAAATAAAAACATCTATGTGCACAAAATTAATAAAGAATGTTTACAGCAACTTTATTCATAATAGTAAAAAAATGGAACTATCCCAGGTATCCATTGACACAAGGACTGGTAAATGAACTATAATACATCCATACAGTGAAATAAATACTCAACAATAAAAAGCAACAATCTACTGATATATAAAAAGTGTGGATGACTCTAAAAAGAACTGTACTAAATGAGAGAAGCAAGACTCAAAAGGCTATACTTTACAATATTTCTTATATATGAAGTTCTAGAGCAGACAGAAATTAATCTATGATGGAAAAAACCATAATGGTGGTTCACTTTGGGGTAGGGGCAAAGATTTACCGGCAGGAGGCAGAAGGGAATTTTCGAGGTGATGTTCATGTTATATTCCTTAATAGAGGATTGGATTACACAGTAGTATGCATTTGTGAAAACTAATGTACATTGTTGCAAATGTACATTCAAAAATCTGTGAATTTTACTGTATGCAAATTTTATATAAAAGAATATCCTGCAAACAAACAGTGAAGTTTAATGATAATATGCTATAATATTTAGGAGTAAGTGTTCCCATTGTAAGTTTACTTTGCAGTGCATCAAGAGTAGGGTGAATTGATAGAAGGATGGATAGATGGATAGATGAGGGATAAATCAAGTATAATAAAATATTGATGGTATATGTTTTCCATTCAATTTTACTCTATATTTTAATTTTCTTACTAAAATGCTATAAAAAGAAAAAAAACTAAAAAGAAAGAAAAAGCTATTTAGTGTCAGATAAAGTAAATGTCAAGACAAAGAATATTTACAGAGATTTTAAGATTATCAGAATTAAAGAGGGGGCTCTTCATAATGATAAATAAGTCATGAAGAAGACAATATTAGATGTATCTATATAACAGCAGAGCTTCAAACTATGTGAAGCCCAAACTGACAGAACTACAAGGAGAAGTAGGCAAATCCACAATTACAGTGGGAGATTTTAACATCTCTCCCTCATTAATTAATAGAACTTAAAAAATGAGGACATTAAAGATCCAAACAACATTGTCAACTACCTTGATCTAATGGATACTGTTTATATCATTATACTCAACAACAACTGAATACATGTTCTCTTCACATGCATATATGGAACATTCACCAAGATAGATCATATGTGGGGCCATAAACCAAACCTCAGCAAGTTTAAAAGGATTGGAATCACACAGAGCATGCCCTCTTAACTGCAATGAAATCAAACTAAAAATCATTAAAAAGATATTTAGGAAGTTGTCAAATACTTGGGAATGAAACAACACACTTAAATACTCCATGGGTCAAAGAAAAAGTCAGAAGGGAAATTAGAAAATGTTTAGAACTGAACACCAATTCTAAAGGCAAGGCAGAGAAATCAAGCAAAAGATTGGAGAAATGTAAGGCCTGGTTCCACTGGGAACCTTGTAAACTAATCTGCTATTATGGTATACAACATGAACATCAATCAGAAAATTTCCTCCTGTCCCTTCCCAGTAAATCTTTGCCCTCATCCCAAGGCTAAGAGAGGTCAGGACTTAGGAGGAAAAAAAAAGGAGGAATTCAAGGATAGTCCCTAAGAATGAATGACAATATAAACATTGCTTTGAAAAGAACAGCCTGTTTTCTCTTTACTGATCACAAATCTCTGGTTTAGTCATTAAACATCCTATCCTCAAATTTAAGCACTTTCTATATGATGACTGGGTAAATAGACACTGTACTTTTTTGGACAGGGAACAAATCCCTAAGAGAAGGTATGCAGCAAAAACAGTGTATGTTATTTTACAAACTTAATGATCACACCATTTCAACCTACTTTGTGTAGCTCCAGGGGACCTATATGCCCTTGGCCCTTACTCATCTTTGTTTTTGTGTAGGCTTGCATACCTCTTGTTTCTTGCCTAAAGCCTCCTCCCACTGCCTGCAAGTCTAAACACCATCCATACTTGTCAGAAGCTACCTTCTCTCTCTAAGATACAAGTCTCCCATGATGCATCTTTAGGTGAGTAGCATCTCTTTTCTAAGTTGCTGTGGAATTCTATTTTATTTCTTTTATAACCTTTATTTTAAATTAATGTTTTAAAACAGTAAATTATCTTTCACAGCAGTGCCTCCTAGTCTGGTAATAACTGTGGAATTCTTATAACACATTCCATTAGTTTTTACATGGGGAAGGGAGGGACTGTGTCTACGTTGCCTTAGGGAACTCATAGCACTTCGCTCCTAGGAGGTATCCAATATCTGTTGAGTATTGAAAAGGGAAGGGAAGAAGGAAGGAATTTAGGAAAGATGGAAGAAAGAAGGAGCAATTCTTATGCTACTTCAAAGGAAAGTGATGGCTATGTCGAGTTCAAGGGGAAAGAAACCTCTTCTTTGTACTGGGGATTGAGCCTAGGGATACTCTATCACTGAGCTATATCCCTAGGCCCTTTTAGTTTGGAGACAGTCTCACTAAATTGCCCACACTGGCCTTGAACTTGAGATTCTCTTGCTTCAGCCTCCTGGGTTGATGGGATTACAGATGTGCACCACTGTGCCCAACAAACAAAGCTCGTTTTTAAAAATATTTTTTTTTTAGTTGTAGATGGATGCAATATCTTTATTTATTTATTTTTATGTGGTGCTGAGGATCAAACCCAGTGCCTCATGTATGCAAGGGAAGCGCTCTACCACTGAGCTACAACCCCAGCCCACAAAGCTCTTTTTAGTACAACTTAAGGCCTTTCACGAACAATTATCAGAGTCCCTAAAAAGAATTTCTCATATGGAATACCTTTTATAAATAAGTGTATTCTACTTCTTTTGTACAGCACTAAACACTTAGTAGATGCTTGCTGAATGAAAGGCAAGATACTTTTCCTAATACTTCCAGAGAAAACAGGAATCCCCACGTATCCATGGTTTCATATTTCATGCTTTAAGTTATTCCTAATCAACCAGTTTGAAAATATTAAATGGAAAAAGTATCATAGATCTTATGGTCAAATAAGCTTTACATAGTAGTCTAATGTTATATCCCAATGCCTAATCATTTATCTCACTTCATCTCACCACATAGGCATTGTATCATTTCATATCTTCGAAGAAGGGTAAACACAGTACATTAAGGTATTTTGAGAGAAAGCAAAACAAAAGGGGCTAGAGAGTACATTCAGATAACTTTTATTACCATGTATTATACTTGTTTTGTTTTATTACTAGTTATTTTTGGTAATCTCTTGCTGCATCTAAATGACAAATTAAACTTTATCGTATGTCTGTATGTATAAGAAAAAACATAGTATATATACAGGGTTTGATATTATCCATGGTTTCAGGCATACATTGGCAGTTTTCTAACATATCTCCCACAAATAAAGGTGGGCTACATAGGTTACTGACCTAAAGTCTGAAAGCCTGTCTGTTGTGAAACTTGAGGTAGACAGTTCATCTTCTTGGTACCTTCTCATCAGAGAAATGGGAATTGTATGACCTGTTCTATCTCAACTCTATAGATTGCCTTAAGAATCACTATGAAGACCTTCAAACACCATACAAAACAACAACAACAACAAAAACACCACCTGTGACTGTCGACTAAACACTGAGAGCTCAATACATAAATAACAACTTACAGGGATTCCATCCAGTCCAGGTAGTCCAGGATCCCCCTGAGAAACAGACAAAGGCGGGACACTGAAGAGATTAATCAATCAGGCCTGCAGTATTTTAGACAACTAACCTAAGATTCATGGAGATAAAATGCATTACAGAAAACCTGGGCCTCCTCTGCCAACATTTCATGTTTTAAATATTGCATGAATTGGATATATTCAACCATTTGCTTTTTTCCTATGAAAAATCTGGACTCTTGAAGACAAATATTATAGCCTTGGCTGAACAGGATTTCATATTTTACTTGGATTAATTAATTTTCACCTTTGCTAGGAACTTATCAATTAGAAACTGCTTCTGCGGGCTGCTGATTTTCCTGCTCTTTTTAGAGGAAGGCAAAGCTACCTTCCCGTGTGCCTTCATCCCCAGAGAATCTGTGCCCATATGTATACAATGCAAATCAGACATTTCAAGGGAAAATCAACAGAGCATACAGTCTCTGATTACGTTTTAATTACTTTGCAGCATCTTAAGCCACTGTATGAATCTGTAATATAATCATCTTGTGGAAACTGCTGTGTTCCACTGGATCTAGGGTCTCTTTGATTTTGGGCAAAACCGTTTAATCAATGTTTGCTAAGACAATGGCTATATTTTGACACTTACTAGTCTTACCCCACTTGGCTTGCAGTCAAAAATCAGCTCTCTGTAGCATGGAAATAGCACTGCCTGGGGTTAAGCTCTTTGGTTAACTGGCTGTGTGGCTTTGAGCAAGTTACAAAGCCTCAGTACACCTCAGTTTTTCTATATGTCAAATGAACAATATAAAATCTGATAATGGCAAGGTCCTTCCCAATTCTAACATTGCATTTTCTGTTTATGGCACCTATACTTAACAGCCCAAACCCTGGATCATCTCTAGTTCTCCAGTTACACAACCGCATCTCTGTCTTCCAGAGCAGTTTCCAGTGTCCCCTGCTGTGTACATTAATGGAAGTCAGAAAAGTGCCACTGAGTAGCTGAGTGAGCTTGGAGCATCTTCCCCTCAGATGTTGGGACCTTAGATTCTCATCTGCTATCAGGGCAATGATGGGTTCCTACTCTGCAAAGAAAAAGGGTCAATCCTTTGGAAGAAGGGTTTATGAGACTCCACAAGGATATCAGGCAGCATATACTAAGAGTACAGTCACAAGAAAAAAGAAGGTTTTTGACAAGAGATGAAAGTTTCCATCTAGCTTCAGAGCTGATGAGCATGTTTTTGCATATATGGAGTGCCCAGCTAGGGTGATAGGATGGTATGCAGAGGCAGTGAAGGCCAGGCCAGGATCCTGGGCTGGTGGCCACACTGAGGCGGACAGACATATATGAATTAAAGCTAAGATATACACATGTCAAGGATTCTAGGATATTCCAAAGATATCTGCCTCTAGAAAACGTCTTGGCTTATCAAAGAAAATTATACCCATGCAAACTGTTGTGTCTCTTATTTTTGGTCTAGATCCTACAAGGCAGATCTCTTTGGCAGTATAGTTGCAAACATTTCTGTCAGTGTTTGCACCACAAAAGCTCCAGATCCTTTTAAATCCAGCTTGGTCTGTTCCTTAAATAGAGACACAGATGCTAGCTGTAGAAATATTTTTTATTGGAAGTGGGGCCTAATCCTGGGGAGCCCATCTTACAACCTACTCAGCTGGCTGCCCTAGAGACTCTTACCTTCATTCCTGCGAAACTCCCTGGAGAAGGAATAGGTTCCCCTTTTGAGCCTTTCTGACCAGGGAGCCCCTGAATAAAATAATAAGAGAAACTTGTGAAGAAACACATGCATGCATAGTTTTGTTTATAGTATGATCTGATCAGATGGAGGATGGAACTATGAGAGCCTGAAATTATTTGGCTTACTCTATGACAGAACTGGCTGTACTAAGGGGCAAAGCACGACCCCTTAATAGTTGCTAGTGTCTCAAGGTTAGATGTCCATTCCTCCATTCCCAAAGTCAAAGGTATGTTAAAGGATATGGATTAGACAGAAGAAAACTTAACATTTATTCATACCATTGATCTGAACAAACACATAATCCATAAGCCTAGAGTTCACTATTCTACCCCCAACAGGTATAAGACACTGACAGAGCCTAGGACAAAGGTCATCAGTTTTTATATAAAGAGCCAGATATTAATTTAGGGTTTATGGGTCACATCTGGAATCTGCCCCATATTTTTCTTGTTCTTTCTTTTAAAATATCTTTCAAATGTAAAAACAGGCTATAGGTCAAGTGCCATTGTGCACCAGTTGTAGGCCTCTGGTCTAAAAGATACCTATAAAACCATTGTCATCCTCTGCTTCTACCACTCAACTTCCACCTCAACACCTGTGTAAGGGGCTGATGCGTCGTGCTGTTAACATGGAAAACAGCTCAAAGTACCCAATCCCAATCTTTGAACCAGATTTATTTTTTGCTGTCTCAGTGGCAAATGCTGGCTAATATCTTCTAAAGTTTGTCCTCCTGGGGAAAATCAATGTCCTTACATCTAAGGGGAAATCAGGATTAGTACTGGGGGAAGGGCTAAGCTTTGGGGACTGAAGTGTTGACTGAATGATGGATTCTTTGAGTGAAGGGACCATTGGTATTATAAAAGAACAACATGGTCCCAGAAGCATAAACCAGTTTCTTTCCTAACACTGCCTGTTTCCCCTTATTCTTGTGGTCACTATTCTTTTCAAAGACGCTTCAAAGAAGCTGGTTGAATAGAGATTCCCGGGTATTCAGCAGGGGGTAAGGTTCAGCTTAGTAAAATACATTCCCAAATTCCTATTTAGGCTTAAGGTAAGGTTTAGGGACAGGATTAAGTTTCTACCCATGTCCTGTGTTCATCAGGGGATGTTTTATTACCTCAGGATCTCTATTCTCTTTGGGGGCAGAATTCCCTTTCCTTTATCACCACAGAAGTATTCTTTTCCTCTCCCCTGTTGCCATGGCAATGTTTGGAGGCCTTTGTGATGCACACAGATTATTCCATGTTAGGAATATATCTTTTCCTACAGCCTCCCCCTTCAGCTATACATTGGTTTGGTCCTTAGATGTCAAGGTCCTTTACGGCAATCTGGGGTTTGTGATTTGTCTGTTTGTCTGTCTCACTTTCTCACAGGTACACCCACAACCTGGTTACTGAAGGCAATGGTGATGCTATTCTAGTGAATGCCAATTAATTCTTGTAGCTATGAAGCTATTTAATGGATACACTGGTTTCTAGTTAAAAGTCTCACATAAGAACCCTTATTAATTTAAATGTTTTTCAAGTGAGGTTAAAAATTAGGCTTGAAATGTGTTATTTTCTCTTTTCAGCCACTTTAAAATAAACCAGCCTTGCAAAGATATGATATACACTAGAGATTCTTTAGATCCAAATATCTGAGCCCTATCTGGAGGAATATAATTAAGTAAAACTGGTGAGACTGGAGTCTAATAAATATCAACCCCACAATCAAGGGTAATGATGTGGGGTGGGGACTAGCTTTTTTCAACCTCAGCACCAATGACACATTGGACCAAAGGATTCCTTGATTTGGGCAGGGGGTGCTATTCTGAGCCCTCAGTTGAGACATGGAAAGATATCAATAACAATTGACAAATATCCCCCGAGGGGCAAAATCACCCTGGTTAAGTACCATTGGTATATATCAAGCTTGCCAAGCCTCTGGGATCCTGTTAATGCTTCTAGATCATATGTAAACCTTCCAAGCATTTCCCAGTATCCACTGATGTGGGAACATGTCAGATAGCCCAAATGTATATTTTGCTCTGAAATTTACTATAACCTTTTAACAATCTTGCCGATTCCAAAAGCAATATTTAAAGAGCAATGTGAAGTAGTGTGGCCTGTGTACACCCCCTGCAACTGGTATTCTTTAGACTTCTATTGCTGTTGTGTTGCCAACACAGATTCCAGCTTTGGACAAGGGACTGCAGTGACTGCCCCAAAGAAGCTTAATGAGGTTGCCAGATGAGCAGAAAAAGAGCATATTTGGAGGCAAGCAATGCCAATTAAATTGAAGTGCAAAGATCTGGCAGCATACAGGTGGTCCAAGAATCCCAGGATAGCCATCAGGGCCTGGAAATCCAACAGCTCCTCTAGTTCCATTACAGCCATCTAGGCCAGGTGGACCTCTGGGACCTGGCTGTCCAGGGTGGCCCTGTTCAAATAGAAAAGAAAGGATTATGTCAGCAACAGGATTGTCAATTAATCCAAAATGCTCTACAGTGAGAAAAGTCAAGAATCCTGCTAAACTCTTGGCTCCTTGTCTACTTGCTTAACCCCACCACATATGTTCTCATATCTTTCTTTTAGACTCAAGTACATGTGTCTAATCGCAGCTCAAAGATACCTCTTCTTAAAGGATCAATAGTTTAATAGGATTCAAGCTGAAACTAAAGGGATCAAGCACAAACAGATGGAATATATAAGGTTCGATAAGTTCACATTCCCTGGGTACAAAGATGTACTAAAGTGGAGCTTAGCAGTCTGGCAACTGAACTGCTCCCAACAGGGAATCATGCCAGGCTGTGGGAATCCTTTGACCAGACAGATCCTGGGAAGCCTGGCATGATTTCTCTATTCGAAGCTCTGCATGGGAACTGATGCTGGACTTTGGTCTACAAAGCAGCAGCAGTTTCCACAGTGCCTCCTCTCCTGAAATCTGCTTGGCCCAAAATAAGCAAATCCTCCAAGAACCACACTTTCAATTTCATTTAATCAAAATCCCATTTCAGGTTACTGCCTCATTTAGGGAGCTGTATCTTCTCTTCAGGAAGAGATTCTGGGAGTCTTCACTGGGAGACTCAGGATATAGACTGGAGCAAGAGGAGACAGAGCACAGACTATTTATTTCCCTCATGCCCTTGTTCACTGGCTATATTTCTGGCACTAGCCACATTTCTCTAAATTCTTAGGTCCTCTTGGGCAACAGCTATTTCATGGTTCCAGGTCTCATTGGGTTCCAGTACTACAATTCCATTTTTCCTCTTTGGGTCTATGTTGTTAATAGCTTTGAGTTAGTTCATTTGCCATCTATTGTTTATCTTAATTCCTCCCACATCCTTTAAGTATACTCTTTATTCAATCTACTCAGTTAAATTCTTGGGTATACTGCTACTTCTTGCTGAGGTGACCAGTAATGACCACTGTAAACTGTCCCAGTGGAACTTCCTAGGGGTTATCTCTCAGCGGGGTAACAAGAATAAGTTAAGGCAAGACAACAGGCTGGTGCAGGAGTCTTCCTTATTCCTGAGATTTTTTATTCTGTTTAACAACAAATCCTTTCCCTTTGCCTGGATTTTCACTCTTTGGTATCTTCATTTTTTACTTGGGCTCATTCCTTTGATAGTTTTGTCACCTAAATTCCTGATATCTCTTACCTGCAGGATTCTAAGGTTATCTGTTCACTCTTTTTTACATTAGTGGAATTCTCGAGAATTGAAATCTGATCTCAAACTCAGACTTTCCAGCCCTTTCTCATCCAGCTAATACTATGGGATGGTAGACAATACACATTTTGGGCCATTCAGAATTGTGCTCTAATGTTAGCTTTGCCTCTTTCCAGCTGAATAAAGCTTCAGTTCCTTCATCTGTACTGTGGAGGTGAATAACACCTACTTTATAGGGTTGCTGTCAAATTTAAGAATGAATAATGCCTACCCCATTGCATTCTGGTCAAAATCAAGTGGGATTAGATTTACTAAGTAGGAGTTCAATAAATGGTAAGTTTTCTCCCAGATAAGTCAGCAAGGGTAAGCACAAGGCCAAGTTCAACCTTCCTCTTGATTTTCAGGGCCACAGAATTTCCGGCACTTTGCTGTTTCTGGTTATGAGTGATGACTTTACATATGTGTGTGCCAGTTTTCTAAGAGAGTGAGTGTAGCTTTTTGAGGAAGGAAGCCTTAGTTCAATGTAGCCCTAAGGGACTGAGTACACAGACTAGGAATACCTACTGTATTTCAGAAAAACAGTGTTCCTCAGAACTCAGTTTCAAAGTTCCCATTTAGTGAGTGGTATGTGTCCACTTTGGGGATATAAATCTAGTGTGCTCATTTATAAGCCTCTACGCAGGGCAATATTTGAGGTTGACTCCATGGGAAAAGATAAACATAAATTGCAAAGAACAACTTGAAAACCTCTGCTCCTCCCAACTTATTTGAACTGCAAGCATTTGACAAATGTACATTTGTTATTGGTACCAACAGCCCCTATTCACAGTTGAGACATCATTAAAAGCCACAGCCCCTACTATCCTCAGTCTACATTGTTCTGATGTGGAAAATCTTGATGAATGCTTGTTTGTTCATTCTCTACACTGGTTGTTGTGCTCCTTGATATAAAGACTCAGATTATCATGAAATTATTACTCACCCATTCATGTTGAAATTGTCTACATGACAACAAAGATGGAGTTTTGGGACTCAAACCAGTGACACTTAAGTTAATGATCAGCCTATATTAAGAAAGGAACCAGATCCATGCAGTAATCCAGTTTAGTAAGTTGTGTTGCAGAAGTTGATGGTTTCAGTCAAATTGCTTAATAAGTTGTTAAAAGTTGAAAAAAAATAGTCTGACTGGGCCTATGGTATCTTTGTTTTCCTCTGTCTGAGGGAGCCACGCCAGTCTGAGAATTATTGCTCAAAAAAAAAAAAAAAAAAAAAAGGCCCTCCCTAGAGGTTGGAGTCAGTCCTCTAAATCTTGTTAGATATCCAGAGGGATGTTGAACTCAACTGTAGGCCTCCAGAGCCTCTGGGAGGAGCAGAAGATTTAATCTGTGCTCTCAGGAAGCTATGAGACTATCACACAGGACAAGCAATAACTACCATTGGGCTGTATGTAATAAGAAGCTAGAGTATGTGAGGCATTGAGCAAGGCCTCCTGGGACCTTAGAGATGGAAGGAAGAGGCAAGTACTGAACAAAAGATGCTCAATACATACTTTTTAAATAGCTAGAAGAGAGGAAAAAAAATAAAGAAGAAGGATTTCATGGAGTAATGAAGCTTGAGACCTGAAGCTAAAGAATTCAAAAGTCAACAGAAAACATAGACAAGCTTTAGTCAAGGGAAGGGCCAAGGGAGTGGCAGTGAAAACTGGGAGCAGCAAACTCACTGGGGGAGTATGGACAGCTGCAACTCTTTCTCCCAAGCAATGAAGACCCAAAGAGAAGTGATCAACTCCTGCAAGCTCTAGAGCTCTTTTGATTACAAGTTGAAGGCAGAAGTGTCCAGCTGGACCTGGGGCCAGGTTCCAACTCTGATTTGGAAGTAGTGTGGGCCTCACATGATTTACTTTATTTCACCTCCCATTAAAAAGAGGACGCAGGAGGAAGGGTGTGTTAACACTTCAAGCTCCAAATCCTCCACTCATCTCTGTCAAAGCCAGGTCTATAGGATGAATGGTAGAGGCTGCTTCCAGTTTTCTAGTTTCTCTTACCCCGGTTCCAAGAAGGTACAAACTCTGACTGGAGACTTGCTAAAGTGATGATAGGAACACAGCCATAAGAAAATGCCAGGAGATGCCATGAAACGATGGCCATTCCCATCCACTTTATTTTCCCACTGGCCTACTTCTGGGCATTTTTCAGACTCTGAAGTTAAGTAGAATGCAGAAATGTGAGAGTTGACGTGTTGATATGTATAACAAATACAAGACAAGAGAACCTTCTATTCTCCAAATCCACAAATGTCTATTAGATCTTGGGAGAAAATGGACCAGATGATAATATCTCTGAGGTCATTGCCATAGCCAAATGCTTCCTTTATATCCCCACAGTATAGTCCTAGCACATAGCAGATGATCATGAAATTCTTACAGGTTAAGACAAAGAGATCTGCAATCCCTTCATTAATCCTAGATTATGTAGCATAACAAACGAAACTCTTAAGTCTAGGACTCCCAAAGCATGTTTTGATATCGATTGGAACTCCTTGAATTTGTTGGAAGGATGAAGGCAGAATCCAGGGCCCCTTCAAATGGAGGAGCTTCACTTTTTCTTTTTTGCTTGATATACTGAGCTTTCTGCACAAGATCTGGTCCTCTCTTAAAGAAGACTGAAAATCACTGCACTAGACAAACAGCCCAGGCTGGGAATTGAATAGAGAGAAAAGTGACTATGGGCAAAACCAAAATGTGGTAGCCAGTAAGTTCCAAAACACAATACAATAGGATTTTAAAGGCTGAGGAAATGTTACCATGGAATCTCCAGTGGTGGGTTAAGTGGAGATATAGGACAAAAATGGAGCAACTACAGGATTGGGTTGGATGGAATGGAGAAAGATATATCTGCAAGCTCCCAACCCACTACTTTTATGTAGCAAAGCAGTGTATGCCAAGAGTCTATGTCCAAGTGATCTTTGGAATAGTCACTTTATAAAATCTAAAGGGAAAGTCAATCTGAAATGAAGTAAGGCTGAAAAGAACAAAATACTGAGACAAAATATATCAAGATATCATTAAGGCAGGGGTTGTGGCTCAGTGGTAGAGCACTCGCCTAGCACATGCCAGTCATTGGGTTCAATCCTCACCACCACATAAAAATAAATAAATAAAATAAAGATATAAAAAAAGATACCGTTAAGGACTTTTTCTAATTTGCATATACCTTCGCAATCCTCCTATAACGAGCATGTATATGCTCTAATATGGCTCAGCCTCTGTACCTGAGAAATAGTCCCTCATCTCCAATCAAAGCTTCCCTCAACTCACAAGACCTTACCATTTGGGCTAAAATATGGATGGTTTCTTATGGATGCATATGCCCCTCTACCCCTCAGCAGTCTGACTTAGGGCTTCCTATACTTGAGTACATGGGTAACTGTGACCACTGCCCTTCCAATGTCACCACACACATCTCAATATTTGATCCTAAGCATGCTTGCATAAGACAGGATGTTGCTAAGGCCAAAGTACCCCAGCTATGAAGTAGAACCTATAGGATGATATTAAAAATGCATCTGTGGACACTTACCGGAATCCCATTGATGCCAAGAAAGCCAGGAACTCCCATGGGACCCTTAAAAAAAGGAGTAAGCAGATGAATGTAAGAGACAATCCCATTTATGGAGTGGGGCATACCGGGGATTGAACTCAGGAGCACTCGACCCCTGAGTCACATCCTCAGCCCTATTTTGTATTGTATTTAGAGACAGGGTCTCACTGAATTGTTGAGGCTGGCTTTGAACTCACGATCCTCCTGTCTCAGCCTCCCAAGCCTCTGGGATTACAGTAATGGAATTCAATTGATATCTGCTAGATTTGGTAGGTTTGTTTACGTGATTCAAATACCTAAGTTGTTAAGAAATGCTTTGTATTTCCCTCGCCACATTGTGTGGCCTTGTTCCCTACTTCAGTGCTAAGTGATCACTTGCTTTTACCTAAGGCCTTGGATGTGTCTGTGTTTTGAGATGAGTTATCATCCTTAGGCAGTATAGTGTTAAACTTTAAAATTAAGGCCGAATATCACATGCTGCTTTGACATCTGGAGAAACCCAGGAGGGCTTCGAGAAGCCTAACCATGAGTTCCCTCCCCACCTGCTCTTTCAGATAAAGTCCTATAGCCAAACCACCCTCTTTATCAAATGGACCAGGTGCAGTTTCTGCTTATCCCTGAATAGCTGCTGCAATACCCTGCTGGACCACTGAATTATTCAAACAAGTCAAATCACGTCATCCTTCAGGAACCGGGGCTCTTGATACATAAAGTCTGAGACCTCCCACAGCCTCTTAGTTCAGTCTTCCTGAGCGCAATCACTGTGTGGTCTTGCATGGTGTGCGGTGTCCTCCTCCCTTGAGCTGTGAGTCTATATAAGTAATAAACTGCTATCGACCTCATCTGTCCAGTATTAGGTGTCGTGTCTTCAGCCATTTCCATTATTTTAGTATGAGAATCCCTCCCTCACCAACTGGGTTAATAGGAGGTGATTAAACTAGGCAGGGAATATAAACTGAGTTGCTAAACTCAGTTGGCCTGCCACCATGATATTATCACTCTCCTTTCTTGTAGTTTTTCCCCTCTATTTGTGGCCCAAATTGCTTCCAAACTTCCTGAGCTTTTGCCTCCCAGTCACTTTTCTGGGGTTCTTGTTCTCTAGTATCTGGCTGAATGGACTTCTGATCTGTGCCTACTTCCAACGAACATGATTTCTCACCACAGTGAGTCCACTTGTCTGGCAAATAGGTAATAATGTACTTTATAGTTTGCTTGCCCATGAGAGTCTTTCCAGAAATGGGCTGAACCATCAGCAGTATATCACCCATCTCCTCTTTTTTAAGTTTTAGTTATAGATGGACACAATAACTTTATTTTATTTATTTATTTTAATGTGTTGCTGAGGATCAAACCCAGTGCCTCCACATGCTAGGCAAGCGCTCTACCACTAAGCCAGAACCCCAGCCCCCATCTCATCTCTTATTAAAGTATGTAGCTGGACACTGAAGAAATTCACTAAGTATTATTCCCAAAATTGAGCAGAAGTGAAATTGACAATTTTTGGCCTTAATGCTTATGATCCATGCATCACAGGAAAAGCAAGCTTTGGTGATCTTACCTTATCTCCTTTTGATCCATATGGTCCCAGAGGGCCTGGGGAGCCCTTTTCCCCTTTCAATCCTGATAAACCAGTAGGGCCAGCAAAGCCTTCAGGACCTGTGGGACCTTGAAATCCAATTGGTCCAGGTCGCCCCTAAGAGATGGACAGAAGGAGTGCAATTAGTCAATACAGAACTCAACATCAACACTTTACATTTTCCCATGCACAAAGAACACTGTCACCACTTCATTAAATAATTTTGGCTTACAGATCTCTGAGGCATGCCAAAGTTCCAGACATGGATCAGAAAAAGGCTATTTTAGGGGCTGCTAAGCTTATTTGGATAGAACACATTTTATAAGCTCATTTAATAAGATTCATGTGCACCAAGATCCTTCAACTTTGTACTTCTTAGGAGATTAGTTATTCAGGCTGGATAATATTGTCTTCTTCCCAGTGAATGCCAGACCATCCATAAGATTGTCAAAATAGTGAAAGAACAGAACACCAGAGAACATTGTGGCATTTTTAAACTCACATCCAAATGGCCAGCCACAAGCTTGCAGTGAAGTTTGGAAATGGCCATGCTTAAAGAATACTGCCCCAGGGGGGCAGGGAGGGGAGAATCTAAAAACCTCTGAGTTGACCAACCTGTCAGAATTCATCTTTGGCTGATCCCAGGATCCAAATTGCTGTACCTGGCAATAGATACTTACAGGGAAAACACAACACACACACACACACACACACACACACACACACACGTACTGTTTACTTGCTCTTCCTATTCTCCCTCCTTTCTTCTCCCCCCAATATGAACAGTGTTGAATGTGTAAAATGCAAGGAGCCTGTGAATATCTATTAAGCATCAATTATGGTAGCAAGAGAGAGCAGCCTGAGGATTTTGAATGCCCTGGTTATAAAATGTCTGTAACAATTAAGTCTGAGAGTTCAGGCTGACATTTTAAAGCAGACTGAGACTGAGAATTAACCCCAGTGGGTACAATACAGGCAGCCTGGACTATCATTTAGAACAAATCCCAGTAGGGACTGAATTTTCTTGGCAGAAAAATGAAAACCATTAGTAATGTGCATTACCTCTCAGAAAACACAACACCATATCAGGTAGAGAGCTTATTTTCATAAATGCTCCATCTCCACCTCTCGGCCTCTTTACTGACTGTCTGCAATTTCCTACAAATCTGTGACAAACTCTGGCAAAAGTCCATTAATCATGCCCTTTACTATTAATGTTCAAGGTTTATCTTTTTTACAGGGCTCCAAACAGGACAGATGCCTTATGCAGTGTCTAGAGTCACAAACTGGAGATACAAGTGGCCAACAGCTGTGCTGGTCCTTTGGAGTATAATTTTTGATGTCAATCAAGCCCGTGAAGACTTAGGACTCATGAAAAGAAGTAAAAGCCACTCTGCCCAAGGAGATGCATTTCTCTGGGGCACCACCTACCACTCAACCTTTCACAAACCCAACATATAGGCTACAAAGGGTGGTAGGCTAAAAACTGTCTAATAGGCTTGCTTCTGAGAATGAAGAAGATAGGGGGTTAGTGTTCACTCTTGAGGATGTTACCTCCCATCACTGGAATTTTGTTTACAGTGATTCTGTTATTTACTATTCTTGTAATTTCCATACAATCAATATGTGTGTATAAGGAGAAAAAAAAATCTGTCAAAAATCAATTGATGATACATGTGTGCATCTATTTCTAGGCTTTATTCTGTTCACATGTACTTTTATGCTAAAACTACACTTGCATGATTACTATAGTTTTCTAATAAACTTCCTTTCCAATCTGTAAAGAGAGAGAAGGGGGGGGGAATACTTTAAAACAATTATGTTGGGATGCTGCTAAGAATGGGCAAAGAAGTCAAAATCTGGGTTCCAAGAGTACTGTACACAAAACCATCACAAACAATACAGGTCTGGAACACAGCACAAGTACTGCAGGAACACAGGAGAGACTGGCCACAGATGTTTGAGGAATGCTTACATTTGGCCTATGGCTGGGGGAAGTCATGAGCCACATTTGGATGGCCAAAAGGGCCCAGCCAAAGTGGGCCTGGAAGGCCAGGCAAGAAAGTTAGAGAGTTGATGTGGTAGGACATAGGGAACTGTCTGGGAAGAAAGCAGTGTTCAGGGCTGAAAGTCATCAAGGAGCATTCTGGAGAACATGTGTGTGTCAGCAGGAGGCCAGGGCAGCCTGCCTGAGGCTGGAACAAGGGAGGCAGATAAGAACCAGCTGTTGGGGAGGAGAACTCTGCTTGGAGGGAGGATGGGATCAGGATGGGCTTGCTGAGGTCATGTTATTACTAGCAGAGAAGACCCAGTCAGGGCACTGAATGCTTGACCCAAATCTGAGTCTTGCCAAAAGTTTTCCCACATCAAGGGAGGCGAGGGGGAAAGCATGATAAACCATTGAGTGCCTACTGAGAGTGGGCCCAATTCCCATCCTTCTCAAACCATTAGAGGAGCTTGAGCAGTGCCCAATATAGGCACAAGGACTGGCACACCCCACCTCCACTCCTTTGCCTTTGAGAACACCAGGGCAAACAAGAAGACATAGGGATGAGGTGATTCTAGGGCTATACTTAACAGGAACTCTGATTCCAACCAGCAAAGGCAGGGGTCCATGGCCTGCTTCCTTTTCCTTGGCTGGGTGGGCATGCTAAATTTGTTGATGCCTCTGTTCCATTCACAAAGATGAAAGTGAGTTTCTTAATGACCTCATGAGGGCTGGGGTGGTGGTTTCCTGGTAGAGTACTTGCTTAGCATGTGTGAAGCATGGGATTTGATTCTCAGTGCCGCCTATAAATAAATAAAATAAAGGTCCATGGACAACTAAAATAATATTTTTTAAAAAAGACCTCATGAATCTTTTTTTTAAAATTCCAACTCTTTTATCAAAGGGGCATTTGAAAAGGTACCACTTGGAGAAACATGGACTTCTGGGCTGACCCCCAGGTTTTTAGAATGGTGGGCATGTGAGCAGGCAAGTTTCAAACCCGTCAGATTGACTTCAGAACTAGAAGCAGGGCTTGTGGCATATGCTGAGGCTCCTGAGGCACTATTCCTCTTGAAATCCCTCCTCAGTGTGGTGCCAGGCCCTTCTGAAGTCTGGAATCATAGGATATGATCATGACAAGGAGCTTCCCACTCACTGAAGTCCTCTCTTATAGTGTGGCACACAGTACCACTAACAAAGAAAAAATGGTTTGTTTTGTCAGCCATCTCTAGATATGATTACTCTGTGGCTCATCACGGTTTGGTCTTTTTTGCTCATCTCCAATGCACACAGTTTCTGTCCTAGTACCCAATGTACTGTTGAAGCTTAGTACTAAATCAGTGATGAATTGTTTTTTTTTTTTTTTTTCTTCCAGTGACATTTTTCCTAGTGGCCAGCAGAGGTCAGTGTGAGAACACAGAGAATACAGATAAGCAGGTGGGTGGGTGGGCCTCTCCCACTACAGAGAAAAAGAAATCAAACCAGTGTCAGAGAAGTCACAGAATGTTCGAGCAGAGAAGGCCCTTGGAGACTATTCAATCCAGGGTTTATTTTATACATGGGGTGGCGGAAGGAGGCTGAGAGAAGAGGAAGGACTTGTTTAGGTCACATAGCTAGTGGGAACAGTGTAGAGCTTAAACTAGACCGCCTGCTGCCAGTGGATGGCTCTTGCCTGTTTGCCAATGGCAGATGTCCTAAGGGGTCCATCAGGCTGTCCCCCCTTGCCCTGGGTCCGCCCCTGGGACTGTCCCCATCAGTAGGCTGCAGCAGCCAGATGCTCACACATCATTTCTCTCTTCCTAACCCTGATCATTTCACAGAACCAATCTGAAACATCATCACTGTTTGGACTGCTAGCAGAATTTCAATAGGCTTGGACCAATGCCCTTCCCTGATACATGTCATTTATTTTGGCAAATAGATCCAGACAGGGCAGAAGGGACTCCTCCAAGTCTTTCCAACAAGCTCTCCCTCCTCCATCTGCTCAGGATTTTAAATGTGCACATCAGGGACTAATTCTCAAGGGAATGGCTTGGGATTTGTGCCTAAGGCCAGGGACTACAGGTCCACAACCACAGTCCAAGCCGGACGCCTCCTCCTGGCTATGGGCTGGGGACAGTGTGCATTTTAAGATTGCCTTTGATCAGACCCAGACAACTGGGTAAAGGACCCAGAAATGGAGCTGTTTATAAAGTAGTACACATATGCAGAAATAGCATCCAGGAACCTTAAAAGCGCATGCCTCAGACTAAGTAGAACTTTGAAAACTGATGGAGGTGGCTGACTTTTCATAATGTGCCCCCCTTTGGCCCTTTTTATCCATCCCTCAAGATTCCAGTGTTCTTCTCCTATAAAATTAAATTTTGTTCTTAAGGAAGAATCTGAAATTCATTCCCACCAGCCCATAAATGACTGACAAGTTAGAGCTTCAGTTTTCCCAGGGGATTTGTAGTTAATGGTGAGCAAAATGTTAAGTCAGGGGATGCACGTGATATTTATGAAGCAGGGATCTTGCATATGATTACTGCGAGTTAATGAATGGAAAACACCTGAAACATAGAACAAAAGTATCGGTTCCCTATCCCCTTTAGGTATCATGATGGTAAAATGGAGAAATTAGGATTGAGTACTCAATACCCATTTGGTAAGTTTAGCTGAGAGATGCACAGACATTATTGAGACACCATCTTTGGGGCAGAGATGTGTGACTGGTAATGAAGGACTATGGATGCTGTCACCCCACATCTGTGGGGGCAATTCCCCTCTTACTGAGGTATGCTGTCCTGGTTCTTCTGGGTACTTGGATTCTCAGTGTGCTCATTCTCCTAAAGGGACCTCATCTATATGCTAAGGACTCCCCAGATCTGAACCTCCAGCCTAGATTTCTCTTCTGAGTGTACCAGATCCTTATAGCCAATGGCTTATGAGACCTCTCCATCTGCAGATTCTGTCTCAACTCAACATGATCAAAACAGAACTCACTGTCATTATCCTTAACCTTATTCCCCAGACCAACTCCTTTCTCTCAAGTTACTGGAGTGAACTCAGTATATGGCACTATCCATTAAGTTGACTGAGCCAGAAATTCAGGGATCCTCCATCGCAGCTCCCTATACCTTGGCTCCTACCC